TAGAGTTGATGTATCAAAATTTTTTTATAGGGTCGGACTTTTTGAAAGAAATCTGCAGATGAAAGGCTAAAAAATCTAATTAAAGGTAAACAATGCTGCAAAGTATTTTCCATTGTTTTAAAATCATTGTCTGACCAGGTATTAGGTTCTGGGATAAGTGTAGGATTCTGTGCAAGGCCCCATTTTAATACATGTTCCCAAATTTCGATTTCTCTCATTTGTAAATCATCTCTTTTAATAAGCGAAATAAGTGAATTTTCAGGAAGCGAGGTAAAATCGAGTGATTTAAATATTTTATCAGGTGATTTAGCCATGAAACTTGTACAAAATTGTTGAAGTTCTAATAAAGAATTAGATTGAAAACTTGTTCGATGAGTAAGTTCAAAATGTTGCCCAATCCATTCAGGTTTATTCTCAATTAAATATTTTTGTAAATGATCAATTAATTCTTGAAGAAACAGCTCATCAGCAGCAGTCAATACCTTTAAAATTTCTAAAGGTTCATGCTCATTTAATGAAATAACGCCACCATAAATATATCTATATTAATACGTAAAAGTGTTAAATATTATTTATATATGTTATTAATAAAAGATATATAACTTTATACTCTATAACTTACTCTAGAATAGTCTGAAAGATTTCTGGTGAGATATTTGGTAACTTAATATGAGCCACAACACCGTCATTATCTTTTTTATTTGAAACTAAAGTTCGTCGTAAAAATGAAGATCGGTAACACAAAATAATCCCATGCGCACGGAATATTTTCACATTTGGATCATTACCAACTTCAATTGTAACATCATAATATTCATCATCATTCAATATTTCAATATAATCTTGACTTAACCTCTCAAAAAATTTTGATATCATTTTTATATTATATTTTAAAAAGCAGAAGGGGAAAAAAAAATTTGTTTTAGAAAGTAAGTCGCAAATAGTTTAAATGTTGATCAATCTTTGTATTCTATATATGTATAAATTGATATAAATTAAGGGAATAGTAAAACCACTAATTCTGGTTGGTCACATTTAAAAAGAAATTGAAAATAAATTTATTTTCTCATTTTCCTATCTACATTGAAAGTTTTCGGGATATCAAAAGTATAAGTATTATTTCAATAGATAAAAAATCATCATTAATAAATTAAAATTTGGTTTTCGTACTGTATTTAATAAATATATATTTTCATATGTCTACGTTCATTGGAAGAATTTGCTTTAGTATATGGTTATTTTTTACAATAGATTTGTAAAGAAAATATTAATTAATGCATAAAATATTTGAAAAGGATAACTTGTTAATTGTATAATAAAAGATTTTATAAACCAGATAATTTAAATATTTTATTTTTTTAAGATTATAATAAAACATAATCTTCCTTTAAATTATTTATGTGATAAAAAACGAGCTACAACTTAAAGATAGATTTTTGCGCGTGATAATAATTGATATACTTAAATAAAAAATATAATTTTAAAAGCCATATTTAAATTATTTTATATACAAAAATATTTTACATATTTTCACTCTCAACAATTTTTGAGCAATTAAAATTTTTAATATGAATTCAAATATTTTCAATAAAATTTTATGATCAAGTATCATTCAATATCATATGGTATCATTGTCTTTTACCTTTAATCCTGTATTATAACTTTTATTTAAACATCTTCTGCCTGTACTGACAAACAAAATAGTAATTTAAAAAAAAATAGAATGAAAGAAAACAAACTAACTAAAGAATATAAAATTTATCCAATTTCATAATTAATACTAAGCATCTCTCTCAATTATTTGAAATACTTCATAATCTTCTATNAGCATCTCTCTCAATTATTTGAAATACTTCATAATCTTCTATTAAGAATTGATCCTCCGTATCCCTTATCTTTTTTTCATAACAACGTTGCTTACACCAGTACTTACACCTATTAAAATTATATTCTTTTAAACCATCACTTACTCTTGCACATAAAAAAAGATCTGTATCAAATGTAGGACCATGTCCATTATGATAAGCTACTGCACAGTCCGTATTTTTTACATGACTTAAAATTGGATCTTTGAAATTATTTTTACTCTTAAAAGAAAATATAAAACTATCTTTTGTTTTGCCAAGCTCACCATTTTTATGTGATTTCCATACCAAAGGATTATATCCTCCAAGAATTTCTTCTGTTTCTTTTACTTTAATGAATGTAACCGTATGAGGTATGTTATCACATAATTCATGAAATTTTTTAGGAGTAAATCCATCTCTATTTCCCCTTAATAATAACTTAAATTTATATGGTAAATATAATTCTCTTGTATAAGCATATTTGCTTTTAATATCTATTTTATCAATCCATCTTGAAATAAGGGAAACAATATTTAAATTAATAATATTTGAATCAATAATCCCATCAATATTTCTGTATCTAGGAAGTAATATATCTTTGCTTGGTTCAACATTAGGGTTCAAATAAGATTTAAATAATTCATCATAAAATTGAGGTTTCAAAAGTTTTTTATATGGATGAACTTTTTGTAAAAATTCTTCAGATGATAAACTGAAAAATCTAATTAAAGGTAAACAATGCTGCAAGGTAGTCTCCATTGCTTTAAAATCATAATCAGTCCAAATATCAGGATCTGAAACAAAAGTTGGATTTTGTGTAAGACCCCATTTTAATACATGCTCCCAAATTTCAGTTTCTTTCATTTGTAAATCATCTCTTTTAATAAGTGAAATCAACGATTTTTCAGAAAGTAAAGTAAAATCAAGTGATTTGAATATTTGAGGAGATTTAGTCAAACAGTCTATACAAAATTGCTGAAGTTCTAATAAAGAATTAGATTGAAAACTCGTCCGATAAGCAAGTCCAAAATGTTGTTCCATCCATTTAATTTTATTATTAATCAAATATTTTTGTAAATAATCAACTAGTTCTTGAAGGTGAAGTTGATCAGCCGCAGCCAATATATATAAAATTTCTGATATTTCTTGTTCATTTAATGAAATGACACCGCCATATACATACCTATATTATAAAACTGTCTTAAATATAAAATATATAAATGATTATAAATCTGAATGTTACTTACGTTAAAAGAATCTTGAAAATTTCTGGAGATATATTCGGTAACTTGATGTGAACTAAGTCATCGTCATTATTCTTTTTATTTAAAGTCAAAGTTCTTCGAAAATATGGAGATCGGTAACACAGGATAATCACGTGCGCACGGAATATTTTTACGTCTGGATCTTTACCGACTTCAATTGTAACATCATAATATTCGTCATCATTCAAAATTTCAATATAATTTTGACTTAACTTATTAAAAAATTGAGATAACATTTTCGTATTTTAAAAAAGCGAGAAAAGGGGTTAGAAAGTTTTGTATTTAGTTTTGTATTCGAAAGCAAGTTGCAGATCTATATATGTATAAATTAATACAAATTAAAAGGAATAATTCCGATTGGTTATTTACTATAATAAATTGAAATATCAAAAGTACAAATAGTGCTTCAGTAAATAGAATAATTAATTATAAACAAAGTAATGGGACGAATAAAGAAAATTAAAATTTATTTTTAGTACTGTACTTTGTTAATAAATATACAACAGATTCTCAAAGAGAGAAAAAAATTTTTTAGTTCCTGATTTCGTATTTTTGAATATTAAATTTCGCGATCACTAAATTTCACATGTGTAGTCCAAGTAAGTTATAATATCGACATATTTAAATCAAACTCGTATAAATAGGACCATTATTTTGAATCTGCCTATAATAATTTTTTTGCAATAATTTATCTTTTTAACTATTAAAAAAATGATAGATTTTTTTAAAATATTTCCATTGTCAATTTATACAACAATAAAACAATATCATAATGGACCATCTAGACTCTAAAAGAATTAAAATGCCACATATTTTTGCCAAAGTTTATAACTTAATATCACCACTCGGAAGTTCTAAAACAAATGAGCAATTGCCAAAAAGCTATTTTTAATCTTCTTCCTAGTACTCATTTACAATCTGTCGTTACTAATTATTCAAGATAAATAATATATTTACGGAAAACTTTCTTTCAAAATTCACCCGGGCCAGCAAATTTTAAAGAACTCGGAAATATTTGGAAAAGCTTAAAATAAGATAAAATTATACTACCATTCTCGGAATAGTACTCCAAAATTAGCGTATAATTTTTATTTTATATCAAGCTTTACCGAATATTTCCGAGTTCTTTAAAATTTGTTAATTGTCCCGAGTTCCGACCTTTTTGAAATCATCTGTAAACTCGGATTTTCGTAATTCTGACCAAAATTAAACTGGCCAAAATTAGGTTGGCTGATTTTTTTATTTTTCCTACAAATTGATATAATAATAGTCCAGGCCTGGACCGGGCCGGTAAAATAGGGGTCAATGCAGGTCTCTAGCTCAAGTTCATTTTGGTAAATTTTGAAACCATATGAACATGTTTTAGATCCTGAATGGAAAATTTTGAAAGATGATGGAATTATTGCTGGTTCAAGTTCCTGGTAATGGATGGGAAAAAGAAAAATTAGGAAACTTTACATGATTGAAATTTATTTCTTGTTTATTAGAAAATTAAAAACTTTAAAAAAAAGATGATTTAGTTATCTATATAGAAATCTTACTAAAATTACCATAAAAAAAGTATTTAACGCATCTTTAACCATTAATAGCAGTAAATGAATGTTTCAATAAGAAGAAATCAAATATTTCTCATTTTCTTGACCAACTATGTTTAAACCTTCAGCTATATAAAAATTTTATATCCAGTATTATCAATCTTACATAGCATTATTATTCTTCAAATTTATGTGCATTATTATCAACATTGAACAATTAAATCAGGCAGATAATAAGCCATTTTCACAACCCTATTTTAGTTGCTCGCTTTATGCAGACCAATAAAAAAAGGAATTTTATACTTTAGACCCTATAAAAAATTTATTTTGTGTTTTTTTATTCTATGTTATTTCCATAATGTATCATATTCACGGAGTTTTTACGGAAATTACGGATAAGATTTTTTTACAGGGAGAATAAAAAAATACATTCCATAAATACAAAAAACAATACGAAATCTTAGATTGTAGTTTCTATATCATTCAATATAAAGTACGTTATTATCGAATAATAAAAAAAAAGAATATGCTAATTCTTTTATCTTAATTTAATATTATAATTTTAATATCCTCCATCTGCACATTTGAAATTTACATGCCAAATAAAACCATAATTAAAAAAAAAATAGAGTAAAAGAAAAAAAACTAAAGAATATAATATTAAAACATCATAATACTAATCGTCATGTTTCTTGATTATTTGAAATACTTCATAATCTTCAATTAAAAATTCATCCCTCGTATCTCTTATCCTTTTTTCATAACAATATCGTTTACACTCATAACAATTATATCTTTTTAAACCATCTTTTTCTTTCACATATAAAGAAAGATCACTACTGAATGCAGGACCACAACTATTATGATATATCAGCGCACAATCCGTATTGTTCACATGACTTAAAACTATATCTCTGAAATTATTTTCACCTTTAAAAGAAAATATAAAACTATCCTTTGTTTTGCCATAATCACCATCATTATGTGACTTCCATACTAAAGGATTATATCCTCCAAGAATTTCTCCAGTCCCTTTTACTTTAATTAGTGTAACAGTATGAGGTATATCATCACATAATTCATGGAAATTTTTAGGAGTGAATCCATCTCTACTTCCTCTTAATAATAATTGAAAATTATATGGTAAATATAATTCTCTTGTATAAGCATATTTGCTTTTAATATCTATTTTATCAATCCATCTTGAAATTAAAGAAGCGATATATAAATTTAAAATTTTTGAATCGATAATACCATCAATATTTTTGCATCTAGGAAGTAATATGTTATTACTTGGTTCAGCATTAGGGTCCAAATAAGATTTAAATAATTCATCATAAAGTTGAGGTTTCAAAAGCTTTCTATAAGGATGAACTTTTTGTACAAACATTTCAGATGATAAACTAAAAAATCTAATTAAAGGCAAACAATGTTGTAAGGTATTCTCCATTACTTTAAAATCATTGTCTGTCCAAGTATCAGGATCTGGAATTAGTGTTGAATTTTGTGCAAGACCCCATTTTAGTACGTGATCCCAAATTTCAATTTCTTTCATTTGTAAATCATTTCTTTTAATAAGCGAAATTAGAGAATTTTCGGGAAGTAAGGTAAAGTCTAACGATTCAAATATTTTTTTAGGAGATTTAGCCATGAAACCTGTACAAAATTGTTGAAGTTTTAATAAAGAATTAGTCTGAAAACTTATTCGATGAGTATATTCAAAATTTTGTTCAATCCATTCAAATTTATTCTCAATTAAATATTCCTGCAAATAATTAATTAATTCTTGAAGAAGCAACTCATCAGCAGCAGTCAATACCTTCAAAATTTCTAAAGGTTCATGCTCATTTAATGAAATAACGCCACCATAAATATATCTATATTAATACGTAAAATGGTTAAATATTATCCATGTCATTAATAAAAGATATAAAAATTACTCTATAACTTACTCTAGAATAATCTGAAAGATTTCTGATGAGATATTTGGTAACTTAATATGAGCCACAGTACCGTCATTATTTTTTTTATTTGAAACCAAAGTTCGTCGTAAAAATGAAGATCGGTAACACAAAATAATCCTATGCGCACGGAATATTTTCACATTTGGATCATTACCAACTTCAATTGTAACATCATAATATTCATCGTCACTCAAAATTTCAATATAATTTTGACTTAACCTCTCAAAAAATTTTGATGACATTTTTATATTTTTTAAAAACAGGAGAAAGGGATTAAAAAATTTGTTTTAGAAAGCAAAATTGCAGGTCGATTTTAAATATTGGTAAATTTTCATATTCTATATATGTATAACAAGACGTATGGGACCTTGTGATAAAGTTTACTTTTTTAACGTAACAGGTAACAAACATTGAAGCCATCCGCGGCAGGGATAGCGTTACATAGGCGTTATTCTAGAAAAATTCTGTAATATCACTTCCCGTGATGATCAGATGTGACATTTCACTAAAATACAAGATACTTTTTTCCGCTCCTTTCAGCCTTTTCACCATAAATATCGTCTATAAAAAGTACATTTTTCTATTTTGCTATAAATATTATTTTATCTTATTTATTGTATAGCTGATAATATTAACATACGTACTAAAATACCGTTTTTATTGATATATATAATAAAGGATATATTTACCTTGTTTACATGTTTACACTTAAATATTATATTTAATTTTAGGAACTTACAAAGAAAACATGATGTCTTTAAAGTATAATTTTTTTTAAAAAAAAACAATTCTTTAATACTAAACTTTTTTAAAATATAAATAAATAAGATATCATTAAAAAAAATTGATGGTAAATTTTATAAACGATTTTTGTAAAAGAATTGCATTGAAAATATTCCTTTGACTTTTTAATTGCTCTTTTTTTTTTAAAAAAAAAAAAATCGGGAAATTTCTAATTTTTTTTTTTTTTTCTAAACTGTAACGCATCTCTTTATTAAGGATAGATATCCTTTTAGTCGAAATACATAGAACCGCACATGCAAACATGATACGGCTCTATAACAGAGTTCAATCTATCTTAAAATAAATAAAACAAAGATAAAAATAATAAAAATAAAAAACAACAAACGTTACAAACTAAACTAAACTGGACCACTAAACTGGACCAAACTAAAAAAACTATCCACTAGTGATTAATATGCAGGGGAAAAAATACGAGAAAATTTGGTACAGTATAACACTAAAACCTAAGCTGAAAATTCAGACGGAGCCCAACAGCCCCACGTCCAGTAGTAATTACTATCCCTCATCAAAATTATCTCTACAAAAAAAGAAAAAATTAGTTCTATGCTAACCCTATCGTTTGCATCTAAAAAGTTTTTATCGGTAAATTTTTTTAACGTGAAATCACGTGACTTCGATTTTAAGATGCAAAAATCCTTCATTTAATGTCCGTCCTCGCCTCAACTTATCCTTGCTCCTTCACCTTTCTTTGTTACTTCTTTCTACTTCACTCCTTTCTTCTGTGGTGACTCCAAGATTGGTCGTTTCTCCCGGAAATTTCTAATATAAATGGTACACAAACAAATCTGACCCAATAAAATTTATTGGATCGTCACGGGATAACGGGAAGTGATATTGCGACATTTTTTCGGGTGTTACTGGGGTAGTAGTACATGTACCTCAATTATTTGCATCAGCACGAGAGGCAATCATTGGCTCCTCCTCCATTACTGCCAAAGCCTTTTGCCTTAATGCAACGTAGCGCAAGTGACCCTAAAATTTCCTTTTCGACCCATCTGTCTCAAGTTAATCAAACATGTTTCTCAATTACAGAAAGGAATATCTTTCGAAGGAGCATAGCTTTGAGAAAAGCTTGATTGATGCTGAAAGTATTTTGAGCCTGTGCGAAAAAATGCAATAAAAGGAAATAGATTTAATATCTTTCAACTAGATAATTCACCAGAATAGTAATTTATTTGTTAGTATATCCTATCTATAAACCATAAATCATAAAATATATTAATATATTTTTTTGCGTAGTGATCACTTATCACCTGCTCTGCTAAAATATTGCAGTAAGGCACTTCGCATGATCTGACTGACCCGTGTCTTCCTCCCCTAGAACCTTTCCTCGATAAATCGTTACTGCGCCACATTACTGCGCAATTAGTGAACACGCGTGTCCAGATTTTAGTTATTAAGTAAAGTAGTACCGTACGGTAATACAAATTCGGACGAATTTAATCCTTTTTGTTCGTACGTACGTTTCTAACAGATAACTTTTTTTATACTAGTACGTACGAATGCTTTAAAAATTTTCGTACGACTTTGAATTTTCGTACAATTTTGAATTTTCGTACATGCTTTGTTTTTTAATGTACATATATCAATTATACTCTTTGAAGATAAGCTTATAAATTTCTATTTCTTTAATAATATTCAGCTCTATAATAATAAAATTGACTCATAAAGCCATAATAATTATATAGACCTGTTCAAATTCAGGATTTACTAATTCAATTGAAAAGTCTTCAACATCGGATATATTATCAATATTCATATTTACAATTATTTTTCTTCTTCAAAGCAGTAAAGATTAAAAAGAGATATTTATGACAAATATATAATAAACAAAATGTAAAATCATTGCAAATCAGATCAATTATGTTTCTCAAATATTATGTAATTGTAACATTTTCATTATCGAAAGTTCTATTACAATGCAAAATTATTAGTACGGAAAATCAAAATTTATTTTTAATAGTCCGTCTGAGTACGGAAAAATAAGAAAATTTTTTTCGAACGTCTGTAGTACAGTACTATTTTACTATATTTTCGTAAATCCAGTTGTGTGACTAGTGCTCCTACCGGGTCGGATTTGGTCGGGTTTGGAGTATATATCCGACTCGACCCGGCAAAAATAGAAATGATCCGATTTTAACCCGACCCGAGTATATTTAATTCGAATAACCCGGGTTAAACCCGAATTTTAGTAATTTTCATTGCTGTATGCTTAGTAATATATCAAAAATATTTTTTCAAACATAATTTTTTCAATAATGCAAGGTAATTGATTTTATATATGTTTTTTTATTTTTTTTTTTTTAAATTAAAGCTAAGCACGAATTTAAAGATATCTTCAATTCCTGTTTATTTATTGCTTTATATTTGAACTATAAAATCAAAATTGTATCACTTGATTGTATCTGCTTTAAGACTACATCTTTTTGCAGCTATCAAATCGGTTCCACCGGCAAATACTCTTTCTACTGGAACGCTGGTTGCTTTATTAATTATCAAAATACACTTATTAGCTAATGTAATATTAATAATTAAAATATTAATTCATACACATATCTGTAATTGCAAGGTGTCTCTAGCAATTTTCGCTATACTACCTCATTCATCTAACAAAATTATATAAAATTAATCAATATTAACACGTAATCAATATGTGATCAGTGATTTTAATGATCATCCGGGTCTAATACGGGTCAAAACCTGAGTCAAGGAAATGAATAACCCAACCTGACGGGTCGGGTCATGCGGGTCATGGGTTATTAAAATTGTTAGTACCGACCCGATTTAAAATTCACTCGGGTTGAATTATCCGGGTTAGACCCAAATTTTGCGGAGCACTATGTGTGACTGATTAACTAATCATCAGATCAATCTGTGCGACAATTGAATCTCATTTATACCCTCAAACTCTTTTTTTTTTTTAATGTTGACAAAATTACATCAAATCAATAGGGTATCTAAACTAAAAATAAAAGTAAAACAACAATAAAACAAAATATAAACTTAAATCTAATTAACCCCAAAAATTTATGTTGGAAATCTTTTATAACGTTATTCATGTGACTTCAATTATGGTTTATCAGATAAACTTATTTATTCTCTGCTCCTCGTTTTTTTGTATATTCCTTACCCATAGGACTTTTAGTCGCCCTCTTTTCATTTATATTCATATTCTTTGTATCCGTCTCACGATTCTCTTCTTTAACCCGCTTTGTAAAGTCATTTTTAAGCAAGCGTCGTATATCTTTGTATTACATCATGCGACTCCACCGCCTGAATTATAAATTTCTTTTGGCTGCATAATATTTTTGAAACAACTATTATCATAATAGATGTTAGTCAAAGGTGTGCTTGATAATGGGTGTCTTAATTTGGTAAAATTGGCAGGAAAATCTCAGATTCATGAAATCAAAGATCTGTACACTGAGGAGCAGACAAGTAAGCAAAATCGAGTGAGTATTTACAATTGATGTTTTTATTTCTTTTCAAATGTGATGTTTTACGTAGCAAATTTTTCTTTTTTCTTCACAATATCTCTTATGCAGAAAATTTTCAAGTTTATGAGGATTACAATGAAGGAGTTGTGACTAAGAAACCAAAAAACAATTCTTTTCTGAAAACATGGCAGATTACAAGAAACCATTGGAAAAAACTTTGAATGTCATAGGAATTTGGAAAAAGGAGTTTTTAATTAAAGCGAGTTAAACTTCGTTTCTGCATTTCTGTGTTATACTCGGACTGACATCATTACATTGCTCCATGAACATACAACAAACATCTACTATTTCCAAGTCTGATGATGTGTTCGAAATAGATTTAGAAGATGTGCTTGTCGATGCTACCAGCGATGATAATGCAAAAGTAATACCAACAAATGGAGGGGAAAAACAAAAGCTTGTGAGTATCTTATACAATATTCATAGCTCAAGATTAAAGATTTCTAATTTTGTTCTGTCCATTAAAGTCACCATTGGAAGATCCCGAAAAATTAAAAAATCCCTAAAAAACGACCAGCTGAAGAAGGTTTTCCCTGTTAATACACTTCCTCCCAACCTTCGTGATCGCTCTCCTCCTCCATCATATAAAAGCGGGGATAATTCTTTGGACGATCATAATGAGGCCTCTCCAGTAATATTTTCCTTCATTTTGTTTGCTGCACGATGTGTAAAGTTCGTTTCTAATCTGCATTGCTCTTCAAAGTCAAATGACCGTGACGAGTCAGATATAGGGATAGATTAAGACGATGATAAAAATCCTTTCATAAAGAATGGAGAGGGATCAAGAAACAATAAGGTTATTATTAATCAGTATTGTCAATCATTAAGTAAAGAATATTCATTCATAAAATGTCCTTAATATAATCTTTTATTAATTAATTTGATTTCTAATTATAGTACAATTCTATTATGAACATGCCATCAACAGTATTGATATAAATGATGCTTCTACAAATGACGTAAATATTGAGAAGTATTATGAATTTATAGTCACTTTTCCTGATATAATAATAATCTTTTCTTGCCTATAGTGTGTGGCAGGCAGATGGTCACAATATCTCTCTTGATTTTCGTAATTTTCAATTAACATTGATCAAACAACTAGAAACCAATCCAACGTTTTCATATTTGAAAGATATAGAACGGATATTGTAAGTATTTATTGTGCAAATAGAATCAGTTTCATTATCTAATTTTTGTATATATCTGCAGATGCTTGTCGTCAATCATGTTCTGTAATGAGATCAAGTCAGAATTTCTATTATGTTCCAAAAAAAGTATGGAAGATAATTTGCCCAAGACCTTTAGTTCTGATGGGGTTTACCACGAAATCCCGACAAGCACAATCCCGATATGATAAAATCCCGAGGCACGTATTCCTAACAGAGACAATATACTGAATGATCAAAATCCCAAAAGTATCATATCCCGAATTGTCTAAAATCCAGAATTTAAATTTCCTGAAAGTTCAAGTTACTGATGAGTCAAAATCCCGACACAATATTATAATTTTGAGTATCTCTTTGATTTTTGTTTACTAGGAAGATCATTTCCTACTGATTATATTATTTGCGACAATTAATACAATCATATATACAATACATATGCACTATTTCCAATTTAAATGATAAAAAATTGCAATTTTGATTTATGACTTACATGTTACAGTATAATATATAGTGAGATCACGCAGTAGTAATTGACATAATAACTCCTTGGCAAATTATGCAAATTATTAACAATTGTGCAATCACTACGATTTATTACATAAATGGTGGTCACATGAAAAAATTCTTTTCTTTATTGTGTCGGGATTTTGACTCATCAGTAACTTGAACTTTCGGGAATTTTGAATTCCAGATTTTGGACTATTCGGGATATAACTCTTTCAGTATTTTAATCATTCGGGATATTGTCTTAGTCGGGAATAGGAGTGTCAAGATTTTATCACATCGGGATTATGGTTGTCGGGATTTTGGGAGGATCCCGTTCTGGTTCTGATGATGTCACCAATAGTTGTTCAAAAATAGTAATCGAATATAGCATAGTAAGTCCTTCCAGATGATGCTAATAATCAGCAAAAGTCCTATTTATGATTTAGCTCTTGAACATTAATAATATTTATGTCTTTTTGCTTTCAGTTTTATGTATCTTTCTTCAATCAGTTTTAACGAAAATAAAGAGCTACATTTATACATAGATATTGTCACTTAATGTTAGAAGAGTTATTTAACAAGACTGATTTTGCAAGTTTCATGTAATTAAAATTATTACAATATATTATATTGCTATATACTTACAATTTGTCATTGAAATAAAGGGCGAACAGCAAGTCCACAAGCTCAAAAGATGAATGAATCTGATCAACAATTTGTCAGCCAAAATTAAAATGTAAAAACAATTTTGTATATTGTACATTTGAAACATTGCCAGTGATGTCTTTATTTGGTTCCGAAATACCTACAATAACTGAACCTTTAGAATTGTCTATTGGATGTCGTTTTGTAAAATAAATTTTGGACTGACCTTATACATTTATTTTATAATTTTTTTCAAAAGGCACATCAATTTTAAATGTTTTAGTAGAAAATTACATTGCGTTTAGATCATAACTATACCAATATTTTAAATAATCTGGGAAGTTGCATTTTTATATAAAGGGAACAATTTATAAATATTTATTTTAAATATATTAATCAATTTTAGCATATTGATACCCTTATTTATTTGCAGATTGTTCATATCAATAAATTTCTTCATCTACGTCCTTTTCAATTCCAATTCCTCTTTCACACATAAAACAAAGATTATTATTCAGCTACCTTATGTCCTAAATTCGCAGTTTTCTTATATATTTTAGTTGACTTTTTCTTTTTTCCTTCAGCTGATTTATTATATAATTCAAAAGCTATTTGATTACTATTATAGTTAAAATATGTATTTGATTAAATCAATAAGTATAATGAAGATCAGCATTAGCTTTAACGTTAACGAACCATAGATTGTTATGATAATATTATTCGTTTTTACAGAATTACAAAATTTTTTAATCTTTCCAAAATCAAATACATGTATATGATTACTCTTTTTATCTGTTAGAAACAAAGTTGGCTAAATAAAGAAATTAAAATTAAAGAATTGGAGAAAATTTCAATAAACTTATTGAGATGCTAAATACATTTTAGTATTTTAAATTTTCAACGCGCAGAACTTTTTGCGACTTTTGGCAGATTTATGAAATTTGGCAAAAACCCAACCCCGCTGCGTCTTTGGGAATTAAAATTGACTTACAGAAACATGTGATATCGATTAAGCTTTTTCCCCTAAAAAATGTCAAAGAATGATGCGCTGGGAAAATGGGTTATATAGTGGGAAAATTGGTTAGACGCAAGATTTGGGTACAAAAAAATTTTTTTTTTTTGACTGTTCACTAATAAATTTGGGGACTTAAATAAAAATTTAGTGACTAAAATACTGTCAAATATTTATTTAATTTGACACCTTTTTAACTAACTTATTGTTTGAGCTTTATTTTGGTCACTTGATTTACTTGATTTAAATCACAAGTTACAAAAAATTATTTTTTTCTTTTTTTGAATACCATATTACAAAATGATTAACTTAACTAATATTAAGTCTATTTTTATGAATTAATATTAGATTCTATTCATTTAATTGAGTATAAACTTGCTTTGGTTTAAGCAAAAATATATGATTTTTTTGAAAATTTCGTGTACACTTAATATACAAATATTTTATTCACGTAAGTATAATAACCTAAAGTTACTAAGGAATTTTGTTCGTATATTATAAGTGAGTAGTAAACTTTTCAAATACTTTTTTCAAACTCCCCGCGAACTCCAAAATTTTCCGTGATTTAAACAAAAGAAACTCTAAATTTGATGCACGAATTGCTGATCCACCTTCCACTGCAAGTTATACATCTATCTCTTCCATCACATCATCACTTTGTTCTTATATTTTATACTTTTGGCGAGCCGTTCAGGTCAAAAGTCCGCTACCTGTTGAATTTGCAGCAGGTATCAGCTGGATTATTTGCGACAGGTATCTGCTGAACTTGCAGCAGGTACCTAACAAGTTACAAATATAGTACATAAAAAATATTGGTATAAAGAGAAAAAACTGAGATGAAAAATATTAAAAATTCAGGTTTAAAAATTATTAGAATCTCGCTCGTTTTAAAAAAATTAAAAAAAAAAATAATATAATAATGAAAAAATTATTGACAAAAATCCGGTCTTATAAAAAAAGAAACTAAAAAGAAATATTATTAAAAAAAAATGATCTGGTCTAAAAAAAGAGACCAAAAAAAAAAAAAGATTTTAATATCAACGTTCGGATAGCTAGGATGAAAATAAAACATGATTAAAAAATATCTGATTAAAATTTCATTAACCGGAATTGTATTAGTCCCAGATTAGCCATCGGAACATAATGTACTGTACAAATGACTGATAGCAATCAAATTATCAAATTATTCAACCACAATAATTATGAAATCAGGCGCACGTCACGCAACTCAAAAGTATTTATACAGAATGGTTAATACAGGAACTTTTTAGGCGGATTTTTTTATTAAAAGACGATTTTTTTTATTAAAAAAATGTATTTTTTATTTACAAAAAAATATAAGTATTTATAAGATAAAGAATGATTTTTTATAAAAGTGATGTTATTTTGTTTTATAAATAAAAATTTACATTTGACTGATTTGAGAATTTGTGAATCACCATGTGTAATTGATTTCTAAAATCATTAAATAAAAAATTTTTTTTAGAAGCAGAATATGATGAGAAGGAAATGGAAGAATGTGTGGCAAATTAAGAGTGGAACCTTACGAAAGATTATTAGTGCTTAAATTTTTATAGAATTCAAAATTCTATAATATATTTAATTTCCTACAGTTTTTATTATATTTCCATCTTTCAAACTCATTGATCACAAAATCAAGATCCTTCCCTATGTGAAAACTTTAAATTACAAAGATTTAGTGGAACTAATCAAGATTATATGAACAATAAAGAACAAGATATTACTATTCCAAAAAAAAATGACACTATATATACATTATTTGATGTTTTGGTTTTTAAGATTTTGATGATGATCACGATCTCTGATTTTAGAAAAAATTTTCAATCATAAAAAGTTTTTATGAAACCATTTAAAGAATTAATGAGCAAAAATTTGCATATAGAGAATATTTTTTTTTTTTTTAAAAAAAAAAAAACTCTAGTAAATATTGATAGCTCATTTGCATGTATATATATTTTTTTATAAGTAAAGTTAGTTGATTTGCAAATTACTAATTTAAGTTGTTATAAAAATCATAAAAAAATTTATCTATTTATTTTTATTTTGGGTTTGAGAAAAATGATATAGGAATTAAAAAATCTAAACAATTATGAGCAGATGTGTGAATATGGCAAGTCCAAAATTTTCAAATTTTTAGCTATTTAGTCAATCCATTGTCATGAGAATTAATAAAGTTTTGCCGTTTCTTGGCATTATTTTTAAATCGGGTAATACTTTCCGACGTGACTGTACTTTTGGATATAGTGAGTGAGTTTATTTTTAAAAGTATACTAATACTACTAATAAATTAATAAAAGATTTTTTTATAACTAAAATAAAGAAAGAAAACGAACTGTTAATCGTTTGTTTAATAAGAGCAATTAAAAAAATCAACTCACCAAAATTTCACACCCAAAAGCCGAAAGAACAACCTAAAAAAAAATAAAAAATAGTCTGAAAAATGTTTGTAAGGATTTTTTCAACGGTGAAAACAAAGGAGAGATAAAAGGAAACTTAGGAAGATACAAATATTGAAGGGGCAAAGAAAAGTTTTATTTTTATTTTTATTTTTAAATCCACGTGAACTGGATTATAGAAAGATAGACAAGAACAAAAGATAAAACAAAAGTCAAACGCTATCTAATACTATGCTATAATCAAACCGCCCGAGGACGGCGTCACTCTGGTACAAAAAACGAAACAAGGGTGGGTTCCAATTGCAACACCTATCCCAAAGAAACCAAAGAATAGACCAATCTAAACTAAGGAGGGAAGAAAAGATCCATATTTTTCTTTCGGTCAATTATGACCGCCACCTGTAAATACTGTCATAGGTGGAGTGGTTCACACTATTCTAATTGTTGTACTATGGTGTAAAAATTTGTACGTGGGGGTTACCCAAAAAAAAAGATGTAATAAATTACTAGTCAAAAGTAAAAATGTGGCTAAAAGTAATATAGGTTTATAACTATCAGCATGCCACGAAAATTAAAAAAAAGCTGATAGGTATGTCTGGAACTAATTATGAAGAAGCGAAGACTTTGAAGTCTTCTGGAGACAATATGTCTAGTCTCAATTTCTTGATGTGAATAATAGGCCTGTCTTTATTTGTAGGCAGAGCAGGAGGACGTTTATTTGGTCTGAGTTCGAGTTTTTTTGTGTCGTCTGACGTGTGTCCTTTGTAGCGATAATGGTATGCGTTGTCATCCATGACTGAGAAATAGTTGATTTGAAAAAGACCTAATTCCTGTTCTAGTTGAAGTAATTGTTTATTAGATTTATAAACGTTTTTTCCTTGTTTAATTCTGTTCTGTAGAACGGTTCGACGGTCAGTTAAAGGGGTGATTTTCTTATGAAAATGTTCTTGAAAATCAGTGAGATCTTTAGTCACAGCCTCACGGTATTCTATACTGTTGGAAGAGGTACCCCAGAGCTTAGCTCTAGAAGAAAGTTCTTCTTCATGAAGAAGGCGTGCAGCTTCACTTGCTTCTCGATCTTTTTGTTGTCGCACAGCTAGTTCGTGAGCTTCTTTACGTTTTCTAATACCATTTAACCAGTAGTAACTTCCTGGTGTATGTTGTTGACCTTTGAGTTTTGCCTGTCTTTTAGATATATAGACGGGTTCGTCGGTTACGTAAGGGAAGAGGTCGTTAGGAATCCAAATGCCCAACTTATCATACCAAGTATTCTCGTCTTTAGAGAGAATGGGTTGTGAATTAGTGGTAGATGAATGAGTATCAGATGTGCTAGTCGAATCATTCCCTGGACATAGTCGAAGGGGCGGGTCAAGATTGGCTGAGGCTACTGCTGCAGCTCGAGTCCCGATTAAATCAGGAGGTATAGGAAAATTGTAATATTTCTCATCTCTGAGCACTAGTCTTTTATGATATTTGAGGTGTTGTATAGGTTTTTTAATGTATTGTGAGGGTAAAAATAAGAACCCGTGTTTTTTGGCACGGTGGAGTTTGTCTACTAGATTATCCACAGGATTATAAGCTATTTTGCCGTGACCACGATTGTAGAAAACAGATCTACATGCCCGTTGAAAGCGGGATTTTTGTTTTTTACTCCTTTTACTGTTATCAGAGTGGTGTGAGCGGAAATTGTCCAATCATTTACGATACATACGACGGTCGTTGAAGAAGTGAAGGAATTTATATCCATTGGCTACGTACGAAACATCGTAGGAAATTCCAAGGCGATTTGAGTGAATGTGTTTTTCTCTACCAGTATACCATTGGTAGTAGGTACGAGTTGCGTGAAATTGTTTGTTATTGACGATATCATTCGATATCGGGGTATGTTTTTTAATATGATGAAAGAGATCTAAATTTCTTTGATGAGAGACACAAGCTCGTCTATTGTGAGACATAATATAAGGTGAGGGAACACAACACACCTGTGTGTGTTCAGTACCGAAATTTTGAATGATAGGGAAATTACATGGTGTAAAAATACCAAAATAAAAGCGGTATCGTTTATAAGAAAAGTTAAAGAAAGTTTTTGTTCGAGAATTTCTTTGTGTGACTTTGTCAGCACGTGATTTGATAAGAAAATATCTATCGAGTAATCTGGAACGAATAAGATTAAAATATTTCTTTTGGATAGAACGCGGGATAACTTTTTGATGAGAAAAAAAATGTTGTAACATCTTACTAATCTGATATTTCAGATTAGGAAAGCTACAGGTGGAAGAGTAGCTAATAGGGGTTGATTTCATGTGGTAATCATTTGTGTGTATTTTAAGATGAATATCATTGGTGTTTGCTGAGAGATCAGCTAACTCAAAAAAGAAACTTTTTGATCTTCTGATTTTGTAAATCTTGTTACATCCAGCCCGTTTGGGTTGAGTCACGTGGAATTTTTTGAATGAGACGTCGAAAGAAAATTTTCCTAAGGGAATAGGTTTGTTAAAGGTAAAAACCATATTTTTCAATATGTTATGTAAATATAAAGAAAAAATGTGATAAAAACTTCTTTCAAAGGTCGGGTGGTAAGGAGAAGAACCTTTCCATAAGAGGCCACCCTGTGGTCCTCTTTCTTCTCAGACGTTAAAAAACGTAAAAAGGGTATATATAAAAAACAGTATTTAACTGCGGATTTCTATGTGAAAAAATGGAAAGGGGAAAGAGTTTTTTTTTTTTTTTTTTTCAAGGGGCAAAGAAAAGTTTAAAAAACTTAAGTCAAATGTGATTATCCCGTGATTCACGTGATACATTTGAAAAATTTGGCGATTTCAGTTATTTGATATATATATTATTTTATCGTAGAGTAAAAAACAGACAATACCTTTTTCCTATTTGGTAATTTGTTGTACTATACTCTTTAAAATACTATATTACAATTTTTTTATATATTTTTTAAAATGAAGTAACCCATAAACTCCCAGGTAAACCATAAATGAGGTAAACGATCATCAAAACACTTGCAATGTATACTCTTTTTTGGTTGTGATCTACATGAAAACTTTGCGAATTTAATATCTTAAAAAAAAGATTATTTCCCTCCTTGCGAATCGATGGCATTTATATATTTTTTTTATAAATCATATAAAAAAAAAAAAATTTTTTAACGCATGTTACGCAAAATCTCAGATGATGTGACTTTTCTAGAATGCAAGAATGACTAATAAAAAAATCCACTCTCATCATATTCTTTTAGAAAACTTTAACTTAATAAAGAAACTTCTTACATTAATTAAAAAATATTCTAAAAAAATCAAAAAATATTTTCTCATATCGAATTCATGCACCTTGCATTTTTTTCTTTGATTAAGCCCCGATTATCACTCATCGTAGTATAAATAACTTGATATGTTTTTTCCTATTTTGTATTTCCTGCGCATTGTCCTACAATTCTTTTAAAAGTAAATCATTTTATTTTTACCATGAAAATTCTTGAGTATAAAACACTTTCTTTTTTGATTGGATTTATTCCTTATTTCTTAGAATAGACAATCTGTTTAGGATTTCTACTCCATTTGGATCATAAAAAAAAAAATTTTTTTTTTATATTGTGGAAATTTTTTGTTAACAAATATACGGATTGTGCTATATAGTTGTTGGAGTCAGATGACTTCAATTTAGTATTATTATCTTCTTAAACACGCGTGAGTCGCATGATATACATAACAAAAATGACATTTCGATAGTTACACAAGATCCTAGAATTTAATATTTCCTAGTACTGATTATAATATACTGCGTATCGATAAAATATGTTAGTTTGTATTATTACTCATATAAAGTCAACGATATTACAGTATCTAATCTCTAATCTCATAATTAACATGTAAAGTATTATTATTATTTTATTTAATAAAAAAGCATACTATAATATATCAAATTTTTGGAGAAACACGCAATAAAACTTGTCAAACACCCACTTTATTACTACTTTTAAATAGGTAAAGTTCAAATTACTTTGATATTTTGTTATTAGATGAGTAAAGAGACATGAGATATAATGTGACGATACAAAATTTCTTCGGATCACTCAGGTGATATGAAAGCAAAATGTTTTTTTTTTAATTTTAAAAACGATGAAATGATTAAAATACGCAGAAATAATTAAATATTATAAAATTCGCTCATCCTAAAGAAACTAGGGACGATATCATAAAGATGCTGAATTTACTGAACTTGGCAATTGTCCGCGTTGCAATAAAGACATCATTCGAAGCTTTACTGTGATGTTTTATGGACATGTGTTTCATAGTAGGGAGTGCGTCGAAAAAACTTTTCTGCTTACACGCCAAAACAACTGTCATGTCGATGATTGCACTGCAATCGTGAAGCCAGTGGTCTCTGAACGAAGATTTTCTGTAGCGTCATCGCAATCAAGTGCTTCATCGTTAGTTAGAAGGATGATCAAGTGAATTTGCCAATAATTCATGAAGAGACGCCAGAGATACCGGAAATAACCATATTAGTTAAAGTTTTATTTTAATATAATTCCATTTAATTTTAATCATTAGTTACAAAATATTTTTATTTTGAAAATAAATAGTGTACTACAAAAATAATAATTTTAAATCCATTTATGTAAAAATATTATTGTTAGATAAGGCTTTTTAGTTATCTTGAATGATAAGACATAAATTTCACCAACATATAGTATATTATGCTAATATATAACATTATCATTCCCAATTATCAGCATCATAAAGAAAAAGAATAAACTAAGTACATATTCATCAACTTTATAAATAGTACTAAACATCCTTCTTGATTATTTGAAATATTTCATAGTCCTCTATTAAAAAGTCATCATCTGTGTCTCTTATCTTTTTTTCATAACGAAATTGTGCACACTTATGAATATTATAATTACATAAATCATCTTTCCCATTAACATATAAACCAAGATCACTACTAAATGCAGGACCACTAAAATTAGAATATACCAGTGCACGATCCATATCATTTACATGACTTAAAATGGGATTTTTGAAATTATTTTTACTTTTAAAAGAAAATATAAAACTATCTTTTGTTTTTCCATACTCGCCATTTTTATGTGACTTCCATACTAAAGGATTATATCCTCCAAGAATTTCTTCTGTCCCTTTTACTTTAATTAGTGTAACAGTATGAGGTATATTATCACATAATTCATGGAACTTTTTAGGAGTAAATCCATTATCACTTCCTCTTAATAATAATTTAAATTTATATGGTAAATATAATTCTCTTGTATAAGCAAATTTGCTTTTAATATCTATTTTATCAATCCACCTTGAAATTAAAGAAACGATATGTAAATTTACAATTTTTGAATCAATAATCCCATCAATATTTCTATATCTAGGAAAGTAATATATCATTACTTGGTTCAGCATTAGAGTCCAAATAAGATTTAAATAATTCGCCATAAAGTTGAGGTTTCAAAAGTTTTTTATATGGATGAACTTTTTGTAAAAATTCTTCAGATGATAAGCTAAAAAATCTAATTAAAGGTAAACAATGTTGTAAGGTATTCTCCATTACTTTAAAATCATTGTCTGTCCAAATATCAGGATCTGAAACAAGAGTTGGATTTTGTGTAAGACCCCATTTTAATACATGCTCCCAAATTTCAATTTCTCGCATTTGTAAATCATCTCTTTTAATAAGTGAAATCAAAGATTTTTCTGAAAATATAGTAACATCAAATGATTTGAATATTTGTTGAGGCAATTTAGTTATGCAATCTATACAAAATTGCTGAAGTTCTAATAAAGAATTAGATTGAAAACTTGTCCGATAGGCAAGTCCAAAATGTTGTTCCATCCATTTAACTTTATTATTAATCAAATATTTTTGTAAATATTCAATTAATTCTTGAAGGTGAAGTTGATCAGCAGCAGACAATATATATATAATTTCTGAAATTTCTCGTTCATTTAATGAAATGATACCGCCATAGACATATCTATATTATAAAATTCTCTTGAATATGAAATATTTAAGTTATTATAAAAAACTAAATGTTACTTACGTTAAAAGAATCTTGAAAATTTCTGGAGAGATATTCGGTAACTTGATGTGAACTAAATCACCGTCATTACTCTTTTTATTTAAAGACAAAGTTCTTCGAAAATATGGTGAACGGTAACACAGGATAATCATGTGCGCACGGAATATTTCTACGTTTGGATCTTTACCGACTTCAATTTTAACATCATAATATTCATCATCATTCAAAATTTCAATATAATTTTGACTTAACTTACTAAAAAATTGAGATGACATTTTGTATTTCTAAAAAAGCGAGAGATGGGATTAAAAAGAAAGCAAGTTGCAGGTTAATTATCAAAGTTTGTATTTTCTATGTATGTATAAATTAATACAAATTAAGGGAATAACTCCGATTGGCCACAAAATATTAAAAATGTCCACCCCTTGATGGTACCAAAAACAAACATAAGATCGGCAAAATATTTTACCCAAATGTGATTGCACTATTTAATTGGCCAATAAATATCGTCATCATATGGCAACGTAAACGCGACGAACAGACGCACGAAATAAAGAAAAAAAAACACCAAAGAAATAAATAATATTTCTTTTATTTTAATATTCAAAATAATATACTTTAATTATTTATTTGTGTTTAATTAGTTGTATATTCAAAATAAGCAATAGTACATATTATTTTCTAAAGTATTGTATATAAAATAAAAAACAAAAAACAAATACACAGTGAAATTCGATAAACCGGATATTCGATAAACCGGATTTGGGCCTAAACCAAACTTTTTTGCTGGAACCAAATCACGTATATTAAAATAGGCTCGATATACCGGAGGTTACTAGTAAAAGCTCGATATTCGCTATAACGGATCAATTTTCTAACCAGCTATAGTAAAAATGATTCGATAAACCGGATCACATGACTGGGAACCAATAAAATTTAAGTAACGTGATGCGGTAAATCTTAAATTTAGCCGGAATTATAAAAATCTTAATTCCGGCTGAAGTTAAGTATTACTTATATATTCAATTAAAATATTTTATATTCATTTTCATGACCTCTATAACTTAAAACTAGATGAAAAAATCAAATTATAGTGTACTGTATATTAGTTTTATTAGCATGAAAATTTTTTAAAAATTCAATATAATAGATTTTCAATATATCGAAATTTTTTCGCTAAACCGGATATCCCGATAAACTGGATATTTTTAGTGGAACCGATAGATCCGGTTTATCGAATTTCACTGTGTATACAGTTAATATCTTCCATAACTGTACAAAAAATACGAACATATAAAACTGAGATATTCTCAATTACAAATGAAAATCTTTATTAATCCGTCCTCATAAATAATAATAAATCATATAAATAAATAATAATTAATGTTTCTAAATTCCATACCACTGTTAATAAATAGTGGTCCTTATAAACGAATAATACAATTGAATTGTCTACGCGTTTATATTCTTAATTACTCCTTCAATCTTATATTTATCGAACAGTTTCATATATGAGTTATCTTCTCGATAAAAATAAGTGTTATCAAAATATAAGGAAACTGCAGGTCGTCCTTTCCACTTTTCAAAGAATTTTTCTAAAGTTACCAAAGAAAACTCAATGTCAGAGTAAGGAATTCCAATATCTATTAGATTTGTTGATGCTTCCCTAATTAACACATTTGACAAATAATCTCCAAATTCTAACGCTTCTTTTTTTTCATAACATGCGTCTTTAAAATTTAATGATCGCAAATTTTGACATTTTTTAAGTAATCTTTCAAATTCAATAAAGTGATTCTCCAATAATGGAAATACAGGAACTGATAAATATTCAATTAAAAAACAATTATCACAAATTGTATTAACAAAATTAAGAGAGTCATCATTAAAAAAATCTTTTTCTATGTGAAAATTATTTATCCATAATTCTTTAAGATATAAGCTACTTTTTATTATGCAAGTAACTTGGCAAATATCTATAACATCTATCTCTATAATCTCAAGGTCACGATAAGTCACCATTTCCAATTTTTCATTAAAATCGGCATTATCCAAAAATCGAGGAGAATTAATTTCTAATATTTTTAAATTATGAAGTTCTAGGAGTGCATATTGTAGAAATGTATAATCATAATTAGTAGAATAAAGATAATCAAAATGAAGGCTTATTTCAAAATGTATAAGAGTATTTGCATGCTTTTTTAATATGTTTAAAATTTCTGTATAAGGATCTTCCAATTGTTCCCAATCAAAATGAAAATAATCATCTATAAAATCATCTACCCACCCAAAATATTTTAAATTTTTTTGAAATTCGATTAATTTAGTAGTTCCATGATTAGCATTTAAGTTATTATTAATTATGACGATTCTTTGTATTTGTTGACAGATATGTGCTAATCTGTAAAAGTACCTAGGATCGATCAATGTATCACATGTTAATTCACAAAGTGATTCAAGACGGGCCTTTGCTTCCGGAGTGTATACTATCTCATAGGTACCATGTATATTTAAATATTTTATTTCTGGACATTTCTTTATCAAGAAACTATAAATTTCCTCTTGTAAAAGAAATCGATTATATTCTGATGATGATCCAATGGAAATTATATCATCTATAATTTTTATATTGATACTTCTACAGAAAGACAAATAATCAAATGCAAGTGATTGACCTGAAATTTTAATCCCTTTCTTTGATAAGAATTCTTTAATATCATTTGATAAATAGGAAGTAATAATAGAATATAAAGAATTTTTTTTACAATAATTAATAGCATAGTAGCGCCAGGGGTTCCTCCATAAAATTGGAATCACGGTTTCACACCAAATTCTATTAACCATTAAGCATGAAAAGAGATATTTTGAATTATCTTGTAATTCCTCAAATATCAAGAAAAGAATATCTTTATTAAGTTTGGACATTTCTTTTTTTTTTTGAATAAATAAAATAAAATAAAATAATAAAAAAAGAAGTACGTTTATATAAAACTTCGATAAATGTTTCATCGGAATATATATGGTAAATGCAGGATCAGAAAAACAGTTACACGGTTTAAAATTGGAAGTTTGAATAAATGTAAATCATACAATAATTCGGCTACATTCGGGTGTTACTATTTTATAATTGTGTAACATTTATCTCGTGCGTTTTTAGGGTCCAGTATATTACGTCATCCATATATGGCAAAAAATTGGAGACCATCTTTTTTTTACCTTCGTTACAAGAAAAAATTTTTTAATATTTTTCAAACTCTTGCTTAGAAATATCTGTTAGAGAGCAAAAGTTTCTGATTATTTCAAACAAACTTTAAAAAAGTATAGTATAAATATAGTTTACAACGAAAAACTACCATATGAAGTTAACAAGTAGTTGCGAATTCTCTAATTAGACCAACTTTAAATTAATTTAAAACTTGTGAAACTTTGAGACTTAATAATATAATTAGTTAAATAATTTATATCAAAAAATTAGCAATCATCATGTTCAAATAAAAATTTTTATTAATACCATTTTATTTTTTATTATCTTAAGCGTATTTGTTCCTTTAAACTAAATACAAAATATTTCATGTGTTGTGAAGTAATAATTAGATTATTATAATTTTATAATGAAATGGGAAGGCAAATAAATTAATTTAATAACCTAGAATTATATTTATATACTTGGCACTTGTGGAGTTATTATTTTTAATGTATAATATCAATCAAACAAATGGTATTTCATTAAGTTTTGTCCATAAAAATATATAGAAATATTAATAAATGGTTAAAATGTAGATAGGATGCATTTTATTTTTTATTTGAACGTATATTTAATAAAATTCATATGGTAGGTTGGGAAATACCGTAAATTTCCAGAGTTTTCTCGTTAATTTCGTGGTCACGTTGATCTTATAAAATGATCGTCATATGGTCATATATAAATGATGACATAATATACCGTAAACCCTTTAGGACAAATTATTAAATGATATAATCAAATGTTAAAATCTTTATTTATATAATTTATATAGAATATTCTTAAATATAAAATCCAATAAATCTATATGTAAATATAAAAACTAAGATAAAAAATTTATAAAGTATAAAAGAAAAATAGAACTTCAATAACTTCAATACATAAACTATCTGACTTCAACTTTCACGTAAAAAGAAACTTCGTTCAATATTATGTTCATCATCTTGACAAATTTCATTTAGTTCTATAAAAAAATAATAAATTAGATATAGAATATTAATAAAACTACAAATAATAATAACTTACCTAATTCGCTTAATTTCACAATCTAAGCATTCTGAAACTGTATATTATGTATTTATAGTATTTAAACATTAATAAATTTAAATAAAATAATTATAATAATGAAGGGAATACTTACTTGGATTTGCTGATGTTGATTGAGCAGTATAACTAGTGTCTATTAAAAAACAAATAACATTAAAAATGTAAAATGGATTATATGATAAAACAAAATTAAATTTAATTACTTGAACTGAATAGAAAAGATGATAAATCTAAAGAATCTACTGGTTTTGGAAGATTTTTGAAATTTAAAAGTCTACTAGTATAAATTGCTTGTGGATGCGTTTTGAAACGTTTGTATTTATCTTCATTTGATCTGTTTTCGAATTTTTCTTTACTAATTTTATCATATTCTTTTATTTGAAAATAAAGTTCGCATGTGTTATAATTATACAATCCTTTTAGTGTTTGATACAACTCTTTAATGGTTGGTCTATTTTTTATTTCAGCATTCCAACATTTAATTATCAAATCTGCAAGTAACTTTGGCATGTCTTTAGAAATTGTTGGTCTAAGTCCTTTACATATTTCAATAGCTAAAAATTCATCATGAGGAATATCATTAAAAGGAATTTCTTCAGAAAGAAATTCTTTCATTATTATTCCAAATGAGTAAATATCTGCTGCTTTTGTATATTGTTGTCCACGTAAAACTTCTGGTGCCATATATGGTAATACTCCATAAATTCCTTCTTCTTTAACTGTTTGCTTTATATTTGCTGGTTGACACATTCCTAAATCACTTATATATGGAATACTTGAAAATAATATATTACCTGAATGAAAATCTTTGTGAACTTTTTCAGCATTATGAATATCTAAAAGTCCTCTTGCAATTCGTTGTAAGTCAAACATTTTTGATCCATATTTTATATAATTTTTAGATTTATTTAAATAATTTCTCAAATTTCCATCATTACAATAATATATAACCATCATATACTCTTTATTATTTGGATCTTGAGTAATTCCATAACATTGAACAATATCTACAAAATAAATCTGAAGATGAGATTTAATCTAATTATCATCAAAAAGGAAAAATTTTATTAATAAATAAATGTAAATAACAATCTTTATATATAAGACAAAGTAAGTTTAAATTACCTCATTTAAAAAATCTGAACATATATCAGAAGAATTATCCAAACTTTTCAATGCATATTTACTATAGTATTGCTCTCTATACCATTTTTGATTTTCAATATCCCAATGATCAATATATCCTTCAGGCCATTCAGCTGAATAAATCTTACTAAAACCACCTTCCGCAATATAAGTGATATTTTGAAATTTTTCAAAAGGTATCCATTCAAGATATTTTGTATAATGTACAGCATTAAGTTGTGATTGCTGTATAAATTCATCAATATCTTTATTTCCACTAGTCCAATTTTTAAAGTTATCTTTAATTCTTTTAGCATTACATGTTTTACACCATTTTTTTCCTGTTCCAGGTTCTTTACATTCTCCACATATTCCATATGCTTGTTTTCTTTTTTCTAAATCTCCTATATAAACTACTCTTTTATCTACATTTTCTGATTCAATAGTTGAATCAATAGTAGGAATTGTAACATGGAGCTTTTAATAGACAAAAAATTATTAATATTTTTAACTACAAAATTCAATAAAATAAAAATAATTAATTAAAATATTAAATTGCTATTACCTGATATTTATTTTCATTAGTATTCACCCATGAATTTTTTGGCATATTAATTGAGTTGTGGATTATAATTTTAATTTTAGTTAATATAAATAAATAACTACGTTACTCAAAATAAATTTCAGAATTATTATGGGAAAAGAAAAAAATTATTATGAATTGAACGAAGTTCGCACATTTGTATTACTTATTTGTATTACTATTTGTACTACTATTGTATACAAATTACTTTTTTGTAACAAAGAAAATTCGTACGCAGCAGTTGATCATCATAAAAAATAAATCTAACCGAAATGGTTAAAATGAAAAATGCGAAGAATAGAAAAATCATTTCCAAATTATATATCAAAAATAAATTAGTTTGGAATAAAAATTTTAATTAATATATTTTTAATTAACGAAAATCAAGGTAGATACAGATTATAGTTCGTACATAAGCTTTTTTTATCTTTACGCTAGGAAGATAAATAATAATATTTTACCCGGTATCCCGTGATTTGATATTGCCTGATACACGAATTTTTGCCTGATACACGATTTTTTTGCCTGATCAACCAATCAGACTTGATTTACCCAATATAACAGTGAAGTACCGAATAACTATTAAGTATGATTAGTTAAATGAACCTTGTCGAGTAAATATGGTAAATGAAAGAAATGTAAGGTATTTCATACTATTATCCGTATGGAGAAGATAATATTATGATGATTAAACATTGAAGGATCGAAAATTTTATTGTATATACGTAAATCAATAATAATCTTGAAAAGTTTATTATATATGCAATTTTAAATTATGTAAATTTAAAACAAAAAAAAATATATTTATCTTTTATCTTAAATGATATTTATTTAATTATGTATTAAGAATATTAAGAGATATATTTTTTTGATATTTTACATATTACCTTTGCACCAATCTTATTAATCTTTGATGAGGCGTAAAAAAATTAAAGATGAATAGAGTGTTAAAATTATGGTCAAGTATTAAATAGCACTTGTATTAACAAATCCATTTCTACGATAAAAATATTAATAAATGTTTTTAAAAAGGACAATCTAACGGACTACAGGTTTCATGAAGACGAATACATCATATTTTGAATATTATATTTTATAGAGAATTTTTCAAAAATTAATGCAAAAAATGTCAACACGTAAACGAATATAATGCTCAAAAGTTGGAGAATGTTGAGAATGCTAATAGAAATTCAGTTGGTTTGATAGGTGCTTTATTTACAAAATTACATTTCTATTAACTCATATCAAGCATAAAACTATAGCTTATGACATAATTGAGATAATCTTTTATATACGTATAAAAAGATCAAATGTATCAAGGGCATTAGCAGTTTTTAGATTAATATATATATTTATAAAAATTCTTTATTTTTAATATTTCATACGCTTATCTATTTTATCTTATAAATACAATACATTCATACATAATTATGGTTTTTTTTGATAAATAGTTAGTTAAGATAATATAGAAATTTTATAAAATTAAAAAAAAATTAAAAATAAACATGCATTATGTGATAATAATGTGTGGTTATCTACAGTAGTTAATGATTAACTATGAATATAATAATTAATAAATAACAAAAGGATTATTAAAAATATTCTTTATACAATATAGTATAGTAAAATTATTTATTTAAATTGTTATATCTTACTTTATTCTTTAAAGAATTAATATGATAGTATGACTTTATTTATAGTGATAATGTATTTGAAGGAAATATGTCATTATTATGAACTACATATTCATTTAATTTTGTTTTATAATCATCATTTAAATTACGTAAATAAATTTCAATAAATTGATAATTTTTAGGAAATTTAATTGAAAATGGATCTTCCCATAATAATGGGATTGCTAAACGACACCATAATCTATTAATTAATATACATGAACGTAATGTTTTATAGTCATAACGAAAATATTGTATAACTTTGTCTATTAATTCAGGTAAATCTCCTGAAAATAACTTTGAACATGCCATATTAAGCGAGAAGAGAGAAGAGAGAAAAAGGACTCCGAAATTAGAAGTTACGTCAAAATATGATGTGAATTTTGTGAATTTTGGAGTTGAAATTCCACAAGTTATTTGTTATGGATCGTATGATTTGTACACATGACCTACTTTGCTATATAAAAAATATTGTGCAACAAATATCGGAACTAAAAATCCGAGAAGTATATCCAAATCAAGTAAACCGGAAAGTAAGACTAAACGTCTAAACGACACAATCGGCTCCAAAAATCCGATAAAAAAATCATCGACACAAACATAAAAAAAATGGAAGAATCGACGAAATACATGATTATTTGGATAAACATTTTGCCGAACGATCACGTGATCTCAAGTTTTATGCTTATTCACAGTAATTCATATAATTCATTATATTGTTGTGTATTTGTGAAATTTAGGTCGTACGAGTGGTCACAATTTGACCGTATTTGACTAATCATTTACTTACACAGATTAAGCACAGTAACTCTCTGTGATGTTACGTTATTGAACTGTTAAAAAGAAACTGACCTGAAATCAGTACATGTCTACATCATTTACTGTATTTCGCCATAACAAGCCATCGATCAAGACAATGATACTTATATATTACATAAGATTTTTGAATTTTTTTTTATATCAAATTGTAGGAATTTTTTTTCGCATAATTTTTTTTATTGATAAATTAAACTTTTTTTTAAAAAATTTTTTTTTCGCATGATTTTATTTGATAGATTAACTTTTTTTGACTTTTTTTTCAAATTATTAGTCATGATGTCATTTTATTACTATAGAATTCTTTCCAATATAATCATTTTTGTATATATACCTTGACCCAAAAAAGAAAAAATTTTTTAAATACTTGATTCAAAAATTTTCTCTCAACATTAAACCTCTGTTTAAATATACTGTATACCAAAAAGCTATAATAAAAACAGGATGTAGCAAAGCCATAATTATATTAGAAAAATTAATCAAAAAAATCTATTTACACTCAAAATTGAACATTTTAACTGAAATATTCAGCCAAAAAACAAACATAGAGTATTTATAGCAACACCTAAAAAGTGTTGCTATCTATGTGAATTATATATCGATTTGCTAGAATATCAGGATACTATATTGTCACCACTATCATAAATGGAAGCTTCCTTATGTAAATGATGATAACTACAGGAAAAAATCATTGTCAATATCTGCTTGAAAATCTTAACCATTCCATACGCGAAGAAATAATGCAACACAACAAAGTACAAAGGCAAGGTCATAGTGAGGATTCTAATGATTATATTGAATACGAAAAAATTGGTGCAATGTACGACACTATTTTTATCTGAAAGATGATTAAAAATATACTTAATAGGTAAATTTTTAAAGTTAAAAAACATGATTAACATGTAAATTCTATAAAATATAGTTATATGACAAGTTTAAACTGGATTTTGATAAAATAGCAAAGTAGTCTCAGATTTTTTTGCTCAAAATACAATGAACAATGTATATATATTCATTTATCTAAAAATATAACACAATTAGCTATGTATTAAAAAATCTTGGATATAAATAAAGATATAAATAATTAACTTGTATTATTCTTAGTTTATATACATTTATCGATTTTGATTTCTGAATAGCCAAATTAAAATTATGTAACGTGTAGCTTGTTTCCATTAAAATTATTACGGTTGCCATCATAGAATTAATTAGTGTAATAAGTGTCGGCTATATCGCTAAATGGTTTGATCGTTAGATTCGTATCATGTATTGGGTCATTCTTATTGATGATATCAATTTTTTTATCACTGAAATTATGATAAATTTAATAAATTTAAAGAATTTAATATTTTTTATTCGTGCTACGGTTTATTCATTTATGTGCACAATTAATGTTTATTTTATTTCATATTTAATAATACTTATTGATTGCTCAAAGAAATAGATAGTGATATACAAAAAAATAATTTTAACAAGGATTAAAAATAACTTTTAAAAATAGTATTAATCTACTTTTTTTATGATTTGCAATACTTCATAATCTTCAATTGAAAAATTTCCTTTTACATCTCTTATCTCCTTTTCATAATGCAATTTCGTACATGTATTATTATTATAAACATTTAAGTTACCTTGTTTTACACCTATTAAAAGGTCACCATAAAACGAAGGACCACATTCAGCATGATAAAGTAATGCATAATTCATATTTTTATGACTAATATGACTTAAAATTGGATCTTTAAAATTATTTTTACTTTTAAAAGAAAAAATAAAACTATCCTGTGTTTTACCATATTCATTATGATTTGGTCCTTTCCATATCAATGGATTATATCCTCCAATAATTTCTTCTGATCCTTTTATTTTAATAAATGTGACGGTATAAGGTATATTATCACATAATTCATGAAACCTTTTAGGTGTAAAACCATTTTTACTTCCTCTTAATAATAATTTGAATTTGTATGGTAAATATAATTCTCTTGTATAAGCATATTTGCTTTTAATATCTATTTTATCAATCCATCTTGAAATTAAAGAAGCAATATTTAAATTAATAATTTTTGAATTAATAATTCCATCAACATTTCTATATCTAGGAAGTAATATATTATTACTTGGCTCAATATTAGAAACCAAATAAGACATAATTAATTCTTCATAAAGTTGAGGTTCCAAAAGATTCTTATATGGACGAACTTTTTTTACAAATTCTTCAGATGATAAACTAAAAAATCTAATTAAAGGTAAACAATGTTGTAAAGTATTCTCCATTGCTTTAAAATCATTATCTATCCAAGTATCAGGATCTGAAATGAGAGTTGAATTTTTTGCAAGTCCCCATTCTAAAACATATTCCCAAACTTCAATTTCTTTCATTTGTAAATCATCTCTTTTAATTAGTGAGACTAAAGATTCTTCGGGAATTGAAATAAAATCAAGTGACTTAAATACCTTTTCAGGAGATTTAGCCATCAAATCTGTACAAAAATTTTGAAGCTCTAATAAAGAATTAGAAGAACTAGGCTGAAAACTCATTTGAAGAACAAGTCCTAAATGTTGTTCGATCCATTGAGGTTTACTTTCGATTAAATATTTCTGTAAATAATCAACTAACTCTTGAAGATGTAGTTGATCAGCAGCAGCTATTAATTTTAAAATTTCCGTAGATTCTTGTTCATTTAATGAAATGATACCTCCATAAATATATCTATATTTTAAAAAATGTATACCGTATTATAATATATAAAATATTCTTTAAAATACAGTACTAATTAATAAAAAACTAATAATTATAACTTACTTTAAAATAATCTTAAAGATTTCTGGTGAAATATTTGACAACTTAATGTGGATTTGAGCACTATCATTATTATTCTTTTTATTCGAAGTCAAAGTTCGTCGTAAAAATGAAGATCGGTAACACAGAATAATCATATGCGCACGGAATATTTTTACGTTTGGATCTTTACCAACTTCAATTGTAACATCATAATATTCTTCATCATTTAAAATTTCAATATAATTCTGACTTAGCCTATTAAAAAATTGAGTTGACATTTTTTTTTTGAAAGCGTGCGAAGGTAAGCAGTTATGTTACCGAGTTACAAAATCAATTAAATCAATTAATCAATTTAAGTGTCGATCAAGTACAATAAGTATTCTAGATATGGATAAATTATGTATAAATAGGGATTAAAAGATTTGTGGATTTGTGGCTGAATAATTTTCATTAAAGCCTTTCATCAGTAACCTGATTTTTGATACTGTGCCTCAAAAGTTAAAAAAAATTGTGATCGGCATGAGAAGTTTGGCGCAGTACAACAAAAACATGGCTTGTAGATGGAATTATTTTTTAAAAAAAATACTTATACATAGACATGAAATTATATTATAAAATTAAATTTCAATAATTATTAATGGATGTACATTATAAGGATTTGTTTTGAGGAAAACTAAAATAAAGCGACAAAATGATGTTCATTTTTTTTTGTTCAAGAAAAAGGAAATTATGGAGAAAAATAATGTTAATTTAATTTAAATGATGACTTTAATAAATTATCAGTTATAGAATTTATATATTATTAAGATTATCGATAAAATATATCAGATTATTGACACTTGAGATATGAAATGGATCAATACATAAGTTCATGCAGAAATTATTGGATAGTAACTGGATACTACATGAATGGCCCGCCAAACCGATAATATTGAGGCACTACATGCTAATAACAAATAACTGAAATAATATCACAAATATTTATAAGTTTTAAAGAACATTTGCGAGTAATTTCCATAAATTCAGTTCTTCGTCCATGAAAACAACTCTTAGATTGCAAATTTTAAGTTATCATAGAGCTCATGACTAAAAAGTTTTGTAAGCGAACTTTGATCGACTAAAATATTATGAACGTATTTAAATCAATTTTGTATATCCCGTAATCCTATGTCCTAATTCCTTACTAATCTATCATTATTATCCATAGTATTTTATTAAAAAAAAAAATTCACAAGAAGAGTTTGTGAAAATTTGTGAATAATGAAGAGAAAGTTGTAAGAAATAAAAAAAAATGAAAAAAAAAATTAATGGAAATGTAAAAATGAATAAAATCATGAGAAATGAGAGTAGAAATTGTAATATGAAAAAAAAGTTTGTAAGGAAATGAAAAAATGAAAAATATTTATAGAAATTGAGTTTCACGTGAAATAATGTGATATTATAAGGTTAGATACTGGTATCCCACGATATAAATGTTCATATTTACTTTTTTTAAAAAAAAATCGAAATCGGTTTTCTAAATAAAAAAAAATCATATAAAATATATTTATTCAAATAAAAAAAAAAATTATATCACAGCACTTGCCCGATTCGAACCTAAAAGGCAAAAGAACAGGAAAAAAATTAAGAAAAAAGAAAATATTAGTAAAAAAAAATAACAAAGGAAAAAATTATAAAAAAAAAATGTGCTTACAGTGGAAATCTAAAAGATGAAAGAATGAAAAAACAATTAGGAATAATATTACTATATAAATAGGGTAAATCAAGAATCAAGTTGGGACACTCATTTAATTATTCTTTTTATTATTATTATTAATCATTTAAAAAATATTTATGCGTTTCTGTTATCTTATCCATTGGTTTTAACCAATTTTATAAAAAAAAAGTTTGTATGAGCGTTATTAAATTAAAAATGAAATTAATATTTCGGGAATAAAATCTATTTTGACATATCAAGCAATTTTTTTATCAATCGTCAATAAACAATTCGTTAGAATAATTTATTTTAACTTTAAATGGGAAAACTTTTGTGTGGACACGTGATAATCACTACTTGTATCCCGAGGTATTCTTGATTTCCCCCTTTTTTTCAAACCTTTGAACTTTGCATACCTGTAAAAAATTACAGATTTAAAAAAAAAATAACCCAAAACATAATTATTACTCTTGAGATAATTGGTTTAATTTATTTAATTCAGATAATCTTTTAAAAAGAGAAAAAAACATGGTAGATTACTCCCATAAAGAAAATCTATTAATTTACTAATTTACTGAGAAATATTATAATTTCCCTTTTTTATAAAAATCAAAAATAAATGGTAATTAACCATTTTTACCATTTATTACGTAACGTATTCATCCTTTTTTTTTCATCACTTTTTTTTTCAATATATTAACATGCCATTATGTAGGAGCTTATTGCGGATTAAATGCATAAAGCTTTGACATATTTTAAACTTAAAAGTAAGCATAAGCTTAAGATTATTATAAATGTTATAAAAATGTAAGCATCAAACTAACCATATATTAAATTTCGATTAAAGTTAGACTCATTGCACAGACTTTCAGCATTTCTTTTCTCCAAGCTAAAGAGTTGAATAATGAAAAATAAAAAATAATGAAAATAATTATTTTGAGCATTATTCCTACAATAAAGAACCAACCAACAAGCCAACAAGAAGTATTTATAACTTAACAGTACTTCAAATTTTGTCAAGTTTCCTCAGACAAAATTCAAACAGTTTCTATTTGGAAATCGATTCTTCAATTAGGTTTAGTGTTCTAATCCGATCATCATCCGTCATTCGAAAAATCCGCCGGTTATGGACAACGTCTGAGTGATGCGTTATTGTCCATTATTCAATTATCCGAGAAATCCAATAAAATCTGAATTTTTGGCGGATGTCCGTAATCCGACGGATAGCAGTTTAACGGATTGGAACACAAGTGATTGGTTGCATAAGGAACTAGTGAAATGAAAAATGAACTAACTCCGCCTAATTTTCTCAAGAATTATATAATAGGGTTCTATTAGACTACTAGTAATTATAATAATTTTTTTATGACCTTCAGGTTCTGTACTTTTTCAAGTTTTCAGAAAAATTAGGAACAAAAAGTTATTTCCATGTGATGATTTCTTTCATGATTAAATATATCATTGACTGATATTTATTACAGTATTCTTTAGATAATAGATAATTAACTTATAGCTTTATAAATATATAATATACTATATAAATAACCTAAAAAATGCTTCATCCATGTATCTATTTTAACGAACTCTTAATAATTGTGTTATTTTAGATAAAATTACGTGCAAAACTGCAAAAATGATCGGTAAACAATTGGTTGAATTTGTATAAAAATTTAGCAATCATGATCAGCAATACATAATTACGCATAAGTATTGTTCTTATACAGTATATCGACAGATAATTAGTTTAAATAACGAATAATTAGCTTATAACTTTATAAACATACAGTAAAATATATAGCATGAATAACATAAAAAAATGCCCCATAATAATGAACGTATTATGTTTTAGTTCAAAAGGTTTCATCAATTTTTTTAATATTCGTGTTATTTTAGAAAAATTCACGTGCGTTTATTTAAAATGATCGGCAAATAATTTGATTGAAATTTTTATAAAATTTTCAGCCCACATTACAATGATCAGCAATACATAATTATGCAAATTATGCATAAATATTGTTCTTCCATTTATAAAGCATCAAGTGAAATCGTTTTTTTCTTACTACTGCAATTTTTTTTTTTATTTCTTTCTTTTAAACGTACCAATTTTAGTTGATAAAACTCTTAATGGATTATTCTATCAAAAGTGATAAAAAGCTGATTGAATCATGTGTTTGTGACTATAATTGTAACACAAAACGGTTTATACAAAATTTCAATAATTGGACCAGTGGTAATAATGATATTGATAAATTTATTCAAAATACTCAGCTATCAGAACATACTTATAAGGTAAAAAATGCATTAGAGTGGATACCTTATGATAGACTTGATGATATTAAATATGTTGCAGATTATGAGTTTGGCAAAGTGTATAGTGCAAAATGGACTGATGGATGCATAAATAAATGGGATGGTGCAAATCAAAATTGGAAAAGAAAAGATCAAAATATGTTTGTAAATCTGAGAATTTTAAATAATTCAGCAAGTATTACATTAGAATTTATAAATAAGGTATAATAAATTTATCATAATTTCATTTTTTTTATTATAATATATTAATTGCATTAAACTGTGCCATTTTGTAAAAAAAAATATTCCAATTGTTTAAATAACAAATAGTAACTTTAATATATTGTAGATTGCAATATCTCATAAAGTTTATGGAATAACTCAAGATCAAGAAACCAAGAACTATATGGTTGTTTTGAAAGATATATGTGAAAAATGTAAAATAATGTGTAATTCAATGTATTTTCAACAAAATTTCAATAATTGGACCAGTGGTAATAATGATATTAATAAATTTATTCAAAATACTCAGCTATCAGAACATACTTATTAGGTAAAAAATGCATTAGAGTGGATACCTTATGATAGACTTGATGATATTAAATATGTTGCAGATTATGAGTTTGGCAAAGTGTATAGTGCAAAATGGACTGATGGATGCATAAATAAATGGGATGGTGCAAATCAAAATTGGAAAAGAAAAGATCAAAATATGTTTGTAAATCTGAGAATTTTAAATAATTCAGCAAGTATTACATTAGAATTTATAAATAAGGTATAATAAATTTATCATAATTTCATTTTTTTTATTATAATATATTAATTGCATTAAACTGTGCCATTTTGTAAAAAAAAATATTCCAATTGTTTAAATAACAAATAGTAACTTTAATATATTGTAGATTGCAATATCTCATAAAGTTTATGGAATAACTCAAGATCAAGAAACCAAGAACTATATGGTTGTTTTGAAAGATATATGTGAAAAATGTAAAATAATGTGTAATTCAATGTATTTTCAACGAAATTTCAATAATTGGACCAGTGGTAATAATGATATTGATAAATTTATTCAAAATACTCAGCTATCAGAACATACTTATAAGGTAAAAAATGCATTAGAGTGGATACCTTATGATAGACTTTATGATATTAAATATATTACAGATGATGATAAGTTTGGCAAAGTGTACAGCGCAAATTGGACTGATGGATGCATAAATGGTGCAAATCAAAATTGGAAAAGAAAAGATCGAAATATGTCTGTAATTCTGAAAATTTTAAATAATCCAGCAAGTATTACATTAGAATTTATAAATAAGGTATAATAAATTTATCAAAAGTTTCATTTCTTCGTAAATTATAATATAAATTAATCACATTATATTGTATCATTTGATGGAAAAAAATTATCAGTTGCTTTAAATGACAATTAATCGACAATTTTATTTTTACTAATATTTCTAACTTCAATATATTATAGATTGCAATATCTCATAAAGTTTATGGAATAACTCAAGATCCAAAAACTGAGAACTATATGGTTGTTTTTAAAGATATATGTGGAAAATGCGATAAAGTGTGTAATTCAATGTATTTTCAACGAAATTTCAATAATTGGACCAGTGGTAACAATGATATTGATAAATTTATTCAATATACTCAGCTATCAGCTCATGATGATATAAAGAGAGCATTAGAATGGATACCTTATAATAAACTTTTTAATATTAAATATATTGCAGATTGTGAGTTTGGCAAAGTGTATAGTGCAAAATGGACTAATGGATACATAAATGAATGGGATGATGAAAATCAAAATTGGAAAAGAAAAGATCAAAATATGTTTGTAATTCTGAAAATTTTAAAAAATCCAGCAAGTATTACATTAGAATTTATAAATAAGGTATAATGAATTTATCAAAGTTTCATGTTTTTGCGAATTATAATATAAATTAATCACATTATATATTGTGTCATTTGATGAAAAAAAAAAATTACCAGTTGTTTTAAATAGCAAATAGTTGAAAATTTGATTTTTTTACTAATATTTTAACTTTAACATACTGTAGATTGCAGTTCCTTATAAAGTTTATGGAATAACTCAAGATCCAAAAACTAAGAACTATATGGTGGTTTTGAATTATATATGTGAAAAATGTAATGAAGTGTGCAATTCAATGTATTTTCAACAAAATTTCAGTGATTGGACCAGTGGTAATAATGATATTGATAAATTTATTCAAAATTCTCAACTATCAGCTCATGATGATATAAAGAGGGCATTAGAATGGATACCTTATAATAAACTTTATAATATTAAATATATTGCAGATGATAAGTTTGGCAAAATGTATGGAGCAAGTTGGACTGATGGATGTATAAGTGATAATAGTTGGAACAATAGTTGGGATAATGAAAATCAAAATTGGAAAAGAAGAGATCAAAATATGTTTGTAATTCTGAAAATTTTAAATAATCCAACAAGTATTACACCAGAATTTATAGATAAGGTATAATAAATAATGTGTTATTTTGAAAAGTTCCATTTTTTTGAAAATTGTAATACATATTAAAAATTGTACTGCACCATTAATGTGACCACTGATCATTTAAAAGGGTAATTAGTTAAAATTTTATTTTACTAATATTATTCATTTTATTACACAGATTGCAATACCTCATGAAGGTTACGGAATAACTCAAGATCCAGAAACCAAGAATTATATAGGGATTTTTAATGATAAATATGGAAAATATGTGCATAATGCAATGTGTTTTCAGCAAAATTTCAATAATTGGACTAGTGGTAATAATGACATTGATAAATTTATTCAAGATGCTCAAAAATCATATACAAATAATGTATTAGAATGGATACCTTATGATAGTTTTTATGATATTAAATATATTGCAAAAGGTGGGTTTGGAAAAGTATATAGAGCAAAATGGATTGATGGTTATATAGATAAATGGGATGACTATGACCAAAATTGGAAAAGGAAGGATCAAAACATGGTTGTAGCTTTGAAAAGTTTAAATAATTCAAAAAATGTTACATTGGAATTTATGAATGAGGTAAATTAGTCAATTTATTACCAAATTTAAATTATTTAATTATTAGGATTAATACTTATTTATACATATACAGATTACATTACATTACAAAGTAAATTCGTACAAATGTATTATTAAACTTTATGGAATAACTCAAGATCCAAAAGAAAAAAATTACATTATGGTTTTAGATTATGCAGAGCATGGGAATTTACGAAATTATTTAGATATAAAATATAATTATTTAAATTGGAATAATAAGATCAGTTATTTACATAAAATTGCACATGGACTTAGAGATATACATGAAATAGAATTAATTCATCGAGATTTGCATATTGGTAATATATTAAGGCTTAAAAATCACACTTGTATAACTGATATGGGATTATGTAAACCTGCAGACTATAATGCACCTGAGAATGCAAAAAACAAATTATATGGTATATTACCTTATATTGCGCCTGAAATTTTACGTGGACAAAATTATACCAAAGCTGCAGATATTTATAGTTTTGGTATAATTATGTATGAAGTAATTTCTGGATTACCTCCATATTATGATGTTGGTCATGATATAAATTTAGCAGTGAAAATTTGTAAAGGATTTAGACCAAGGTTTAACATTAAAGTACCCCAATTGATTGTGCATCTAATTAAAAAATGCTTGGATGCAAATCCATTAAATCGACTAAAAGCAGAAGAAATTGAAAGGACTTTAAGTCAATGGTTTAGAGAATCATTTGATCCTGGATCTAATAAATATGCGGAGATAAACAATCAAATAAAAGAAGCAGAAATGATTAATAAAAAATCACCGATTAATAGTACTAATAGTCTAGGAATATCATATAAAACACATTCAGAAGCAATTTATACCAGTAGATTACTCAATTTTAGTAATCTTCCTGAGCCAAAAAATTCTGATGATTATTATGAAGAAAATGATAATATAATTAGCATGAAATTTTCGGGTATTTATTAGTAAAAAAATTTCATTGTCCGGAGCGAAGCTTAAAGGACTATGTCAAAAATAGTGTCACATGACGATATGCCGTCACGTCATTGAAATTTCGCTGAAAATAAATTGTGATACACCAGATAAACAAGATAAAGAACCTTTTTTTTTTTGTTCCGGACTTATAACGGTTTCCGTTTCCTAGTATTAATTAAAACAATAAAAAGATATTATTGGGCGTTTTTTATAAAACTAGTAACGATTTTGTTGATCATTTGTTGATCATTTATTTTAAATTTATTATAAATTTTGTCACGAGATTTTCTATGGAAATCATTTCTCAATTTGTTATTAAAAGATGTGTATAAGAGACAGGCATTAGAATGGATACCTTATAATAAACTTTTTAATATTAAATATATTGCAGATTGTGAGTTTGGCAAAGTGTATAGTGCAAAATGGACTAATGGATACATAAATGAATGGGATGATGAAAATCAAAATTGGAAAAGAAAAGATCAAAATATGTTTGTAATTCTGAAAATTTTAAAAAATCCAGCAAGTATTACATTAGAATTTATAAATAAGGTATAATGAATTTATCAAAGTTTCATGTTTTTGCGAATTATAATATAAATTAATCACATTATATATTGTGTCATTTGATGAAAAAAAAAAATTACCAGTTGTTTTAAATAGCAAATAGTTGAAAATTTGATTTTTTTACTAATATTTTAACTTTAACATACTGTAGATTGCAGTTCCTTATAAAGTTTATGGAATAACTCAAGATCCAAAAACTAAGAACTATATGGTGGTTTTGAATTATATATGTGAAAAATGTAATGAAGTGTGCAATTCAATGTATTTTCAACAAAATTTCAGTGATTGGACCAGTGGTAATAATGATATTGATAAATTTATTCAAAATTCTCAACTATCAGCTCATGATGATATAAAGAGGGCATTAGAATGGATACCTTATAATAAACTTTATAATATTAAATATATTGCAGATGATAAGTTTGGCAAAATGTATGGAGCAAGTTGGACTGATGGATGTATAAGTGATAATAGTTGGAACAATAGTTGGGATAATGAAAATCAAAATTGGAAAAGAAGAGATCAAAATATGTTTGTAATTCTGAAAATTTTAAATAATCCAACAAGTATTACACCAGAATTTATAGATAAGGTATAATAAATAATGTGTTATTTTGAAAAGTTCCATTTTTTTGAAAATTGTAATACATATTAAAAATTGTACTGCACCATTAATGTGACCACTGATCATTTAAAAGGGTAATTAGTTAAAATTTTATTTTACTAATATTATTCATTTTATTACACAGATTGCAATACCTCATGAAGGTTACGGAATAACTCAAGATCCAGAAACCAAGAATTATATAGGGATTTTTAATGATAAATATGGAAAATATGTGCATAATGCAATGTGTTTTCAGCAAAATTTCAATAATTGGACTAGTGGTAATAATGACATTGANCGTCAAGCCTGACGTTTTTTAACTAAAAAAGTCATTTTTTTGTTTTTTTAATTACAAAAACGTCAAGCCTGACGTTTTTTAACTAAAAAAGTCATTTTTTTGTTTTTTTAATTACAAAAACGTCAAGTCTGACGTTTTTAATAAAAAAATCAATTTTTTCTATATTTAATTATAAAAACGTTTGATGACCCGACCCAAAATTTTCGAGTCAATCTGACAGTATAATGATTATAACTCACTAATAATTACCAAGTTACTCTAGTTGTATAATATACTAATAAGGTTCTAATTATTAAATAGATTCCTTACAAATTGATATTTCTCAATTGAAAAATAACAATTCTTTTGAACTAAAAAATTCTGATGATAGTTATGAAAAGAATGATAATATTAAAATGGAATCTTCAGGTATATTTTTTAAAAAAAAAATTTAATAAAATTAATTATAAAATATTAATAAATTTTTTAATTCATTAAATAGAATTCTTACAAATTGATATTTTACAATTAAAAATTGATAATAATAATTTTCCTGAACAAGTTAATTCTGATGATTCTTACGAAAAAAATGATAATACGAACAGTATGAATTCTTCAGGTATTGATTAATAAAAAATAACCAGATTATTATTTAATAATAAAAAACACTAATTTCTTTCTATTAAATAGAATCACTACAAATTGATATTTCTCAATTGAACACTAATAAAGATGGTAAATATTCCTTAGATATGGATAAAAATAATCAAGACGATTGTATAATATACTTATTTTATTTGTTCATTTTTTAGACTGGGATAGCGGTACTGGGGGCGAAGAAAAAATTTAGACCATTTGCTATTTTAGTTAAATTTTTATATTTTAATAGAAATAATGATGGATAAAATTTTAAATTATACTAGCCTAATTGGTTAACTTATATTAACTTATATTTATTCGATTCATTAACTAAATAAAAACTTTTTAAACTAAAGGTCAAATTAATGCTGACCAAATTAAATTTTAAATTGAACTTGTCCAAAGAAATAAAAAGTAAATAAAACATTGTGTTTGATAAAAAATATGAATATAATAAATGTAAATTATATTTATTACCATTAACAACATTTTCTATGGGAATTTTCTAGACGTGGAATACCTGCAAATAAGAAAGAAAAAAAAACTTTTTCTTTTTGTTTATTTAACGAGATTTACTAACTACTGTATTTGTTTTTTTTTCTTTTTGAGGAGGTTCAGTCACTGTGGACGTGATAACGACAAGTCATATAATAAAAATTTTCTAAAGTTTTTTTTATTAACGAATATTACTAACTGTTCGTTTATTTTTCTTTAGGCGTTTTTTTAGTCTCTCCGGACTTGGAATATATGTTGGTTAATAAAAATATTTCTCATTTTTTTTTATAATATCTAACTGTTCGTTTGACGAAAATCCGATTTTCATTTTCCAGATGTTCCAACTTAGAATAGAAAAATTAATCATAGTCAACCATTGATTTCCAATGGTTCATCTCAGGGTAATTAGAGTATTGAACGAGTATAACCACTCAAATGTAAGGTAATCTAACATTCCATTTTTCTTTATCTAAAGATCCATTTCTCCAGTATTTCGAAATATATCTTTCACTTCTCCTCTACGAAAGTGCTTCTCTGTGAAGTTTGAAACTATAAATTTAGAAAATTTGATTACAACACCACTATCATCTTTATATGTTTCGCCAATGTTTTCAGTGAAACTTTTTTCGGAAGCTTGTCCCAGAATCAAACATTAAGAAAATTTGAGCAGAGAAAGTTTAAGAAATGATAAAGTTTGAAAGAAGTATAAAATATATATACTTTATATACTTTTCTGAATCATCGTGATTAATTATAAAATGATCTTTATAAACTCTTAATTGGTGACACGAAATATGATATAATGATATAAATGACATTAGCATAATAAAAAAAAAGTTTATAAAATTAATTTATCAGCAAGCGAAAAAAAACGGTTAATGTTGCAACACAATTAGTAGCCAATAAATTAATTTCAGTATGTCATAGCGATAAATTAATTAATAAAGCTCTGATATAAGGTTTCACATATACAACTTACTCCAACCAACCACCCAAGCGGCCAAGTTCGTCGTGCTGTTTTTTTCCGAGCATGAACTCATTAAAAAAGAAACCGATCTATCGCAGTTTAAGAAGTATTGAAAAAATTATTGAAGTTCGGACGAGACATTTCAAAATTAAGGTATGAATGAAGTATATTTTTTCGGTTTTGGCTGGCATTTGCGAGGAAGCGACTCAGACCTTGTAAAGCTAATATCTATTTTTTTTGTTTATAAAAAATCTTTAAAGTGCTAGTTTGTTATTGCCTATTGGATGGCGAGAAACCTCTTTTTGAAATAATTAAATCACTCTTTTTGCAGTGAATAACTCTGATAATTCGCGCTTCTTCTTCCGTTGACTATTCAAACTTTCGGAGTTTTACTAAGGTCAACCAAGCTCTTAGCTGAGATTTCCGAACTTTTCTGAGATTAAGATCGAGAATGATGAGCTTAAGGATAAGAATACTGAAATCCCTGAACTTAGAAGGAAGTTCGCTGAGACTGAGGCTGAGAGAGCTGAACTCAAGGGCAAGGTTACCGAGCTTCCAAAACAGGGTGTGGAAGAAAGTAAGAGGCGTGATGCCGAGAATGCCAAACTCAAGACCAAAATCAAGGAGTTGGAATCTGAAAATGTTGACTTTAGAGATAGAATCACAAAAGTAGAACAGAGACCGATGCTAAATGACCCAACAACAGTTCACCTAACTTCAATTTGGTTGCAGATCATATACCCATGGCAACGCATCATGAAAAACCATTGGTAGATACCTCATTACCCGAAAAACTAATACCAGAAGGTTACCAGAGGTATTGTATTGTAAAACCTATTCAGAAGTGATAAAGTGGGCGTTTGGGTATGCTTTTGTGTTATGTCTATATTTAACTATTAAATATTTTTAAAATAACAAATTAGTTTAAATAATATATAGATATTATAACTTATAACTCACCAACTAAAAGAAATTACAAAATAATTTTGTAAATAGGGTTTGATTAGTTTAAATTATGTAAATAATAGGAATATAGATAGCATGTAACCTACACCTAATTATTAATAATGATATTTATAATATTAAAAATTATTTAAATTGAATCACGGGAAACATTAATATTAAATTTTAAAATTACTTTTTTTTTTCGTTCGAAATTAATCACGTGATACAGCTAATTTTATTGGCCATCAATATATGATACGACTGATACGCGTCGTAATAATAATTTTATTGGCTTTTAAGCTAGAAACACTAATGCTAAATCGGCGGTTTCAGCAAAGTTTTTGGTAATTTCATGATAGTAAATATTAACAATTTTATTACTATATTTCCATTAGTGTGGACAAATAATTTTTTCATACTAGAAACATAAAACATGGTTGATCGATCATGTTGCTAAAATAAAAAATCAGATGAAAATTTCATTTCCTAATCGGTTTTGTGCACCATAAAAACGTGTGTGACACAGCGGAATCAAGCTGAAATAAGTCACATTATGCTAATATAATATTCGCTTTATAATTTCATACTCTTCAATTTTTAAACATTGAAATGATACTTATTGAAAATTAGAATTTCATATAGCTGATCTATTAAAACTTCTTACATGTAAACCTAACTTTAATTAAATGTGACTTTTAGGATTTTTTTGAAAAATTTTCAAAAATTGAAACTGATGGCATAACTTAGGAGAAATTTGTAGTGCCCAGCCAAAATTAATATTTATATAATCCAAACTAATATAAGGGATTATAATAAAGTTTATAATATTTAATTTTATGAATTCAAGTTTAAATAATTAAAATTACCAAAATTTGTGAAGTTTATCATTTTTATTTTGAAAAATATTTGACTTTTTTTTATTAAAAAAAGAGAATGAATTAAAAAAAAAAAATTTTTAAATATAAAATTACCTCATCCAAATTGGGAGTTATGATTAAATCTAATTCATAAAAACACTACTATATTTCAGTCAAAAATTTATTCTAAATTAAATAAAATAATGAATGATTTACGCAAATATTTTATGAAAAAAATTTGTTTATAATACCATTAAATAATAAATTCACATGTCATAAAAATAAAGATAATTCTTATAAAAATAAAAATAAAATTTTTTGAAACAAGAAAAAATGCGAAATTGACTATAGAATCACCATCTTACATTTAACTTTTCATTTATAATTTCTAATTCACTAAGAGGTGATAAACCATTATGTATGTTGTTTAGCCCATCAAGGAGACCATTTAATTTTATAACGATTACAATCAATACTGCAATAGCTCCTGCATGTGTTAATAATTTTAGAATTTCAATAGTGGTTCTTTCATTATTTTATAAAGGACAGGTAATAAAAAATCAATAAGTTAGTAATCGTAGCATTACAAATAATATAATAAAGAAAGGGCTTGATATATAAAATGTAAAATAACTCACTCCATGATGAATTTTAAATGATAGTCTAGCAATGAATAGAGAATTATTGTTTAAAGTCAGTCTTCCAGGATTTCTAGGTTCATAAATATAATATTATTGAGTAGTACAAGGGAGTTTCATATAGATAATACGTACAACTTTACAAAGTTTCTGTACCATGCTTGGCATTTCATTTTAAAATTTAATTTTAGTTTCTTTATACATTAGTTCCGGACTTTCTCATTTTATTTTGAGATTTTTAAAATAGAATGACATCTTATAATCTATAGCCATTTTGATGTCTTATTAGAGAAATAAATCATTTTTTGTCTATGAATTTCTTAGTTAGAATTGGTAAATATTGTAGAAAACTGAGACAAATCAAGTATCAATAAGAATCACAATAGGAAGTTCTCGTTCAAATGAAAGACAAATAGAAATACAACTAATTTGCACTTAATTTTGCAGGATTGACCATAAAAAAGTATGATACTATGATTTTCATATATTTAACCACTTTCATGATATTATAGACGTTAATTTAGTAGAATGATGCTTAGTAGTCAGTCATAATATATTTCAGTGTCATTCCGATGCATTTAATTAATAAATTAAAAGAAACTTGTAATTTTTCGGCTTCTTTTTTAAAATTGGATAATTTTGGCAAATATGAATAATATAATTAGTAAATACTAAAGTAATCTTCCATATACAATTATACAGCTTGTCAATCATGTACTGTACATTTTTAACTAATAATAATATATGTTTACACTAATCAAAATATCCGAACCAGAAAAGTAAAACTAACAATTACATGTAATATTGTAAGGGGTATAATAATGTAATACAAAATCAATGACTCAAGCCAATCACGATCATCCGGAAATTTCTCTATGTACATTATCCGATTCAAAAATTGGGACATTTTAAGCGAGTACTTGATTCAAATGAGGAAAGAGGAGACCTTATTATGGATTATGTGCTTGAAATTGTGAGGCGTGAAATGTGTGAACTTACAAATAAAAAAAAAAGTAAAAAAAAAGAAAGATATTAAGAAACGCCTTCATTATGGGCATAGTGTAAAAAGGAGCTGCCATCCTCGATCAGTAAGCGGCTTTGAAGTCCCGCTTCTCTATTATTACTTTCATCTTTATTATCAATCACTTCACAAGGAAAATAGACGGAGTGGTTCTTAAACATGTGTACATAAACTTAATAATTAAGTTTTCAATAAAATTGTTATCAATATAGCTTAGAATTTTGATCCAAAAAATGAATATCAAATTTTATTATTAAATTTATTATCAATTAGGTTTAGTTTTAAAATATTATATCAGCTAGAATTGTGAATTAGATTATTGTAACATAATTGAATCAATACAGAATAATTGTTGTTAATGGTATAAAGATATAATACCAATATTATATTCATTTCATATATTTGTAGATATTTTTTCAGGACTTAATAAAAACATCAAATGTGCAATAGTCAAATTCATGTAATCACAAATAAAATACAGGTCCTTATCATTATTATGAAAAATATTGAGTCCAATAAGTTTATTATAAAAATTAATAATAGATAAAACATTTCTTTCCCATTATTTTTTTCCTAAATTAAATAAAATAATGATGATTTATGCAAATATTTTTATAAAAAAAATTGGTTTGTTATACAGTATCATTAAATAATATGTAAATAATAAAGTTTGCATGTCATATAAAAAAACATACATATAGAGAATTCTTACAAAGACAGAAAATTTTTTTTGTAAATATTACAAGGAACAAGAAAAATGCGAATATTGACTATAAATCACATATTTACTAAAAATTTATAGAATGCGCCTTAATTACTGTAGACACTTAACATGTTCCAAACTATCATTGATTTTAAATAATCCATTACTGATACTTTGTATTGCGCCAAGAGACCCTAGATGATCGTGTAAGTTATTTAGCGAATCAGGGATATTACTTAATTTTATAGAGATTACAATCAATACTATGACAGCTGCAAATTGCATTAATAATTTTAGAAAATCAATAGTGGTTCTTTCATTATTTTATAAAGGATTGGTAATAAAAAAGTTAACAGTTAGTAACCATAGCATTACAAAAAAATATAATAAAGAAAAGTTTAACATATAAAACGTAAAAATAACTCACTCCATGATGAATTTTTATAATAGTTTGGCAATGAATGGAGAACTGGTTAAAAACAGTCTTCCACTAGGTTCAATAAATATAATATTATTAGGTAGTACAAGGTGAATATGAGGTAATACATACAACATTACAAAGTTTCTGTACCAGGCTTGGCATTTCATTTTAAAATTAATTTAATTTCTTTTATTAATTTGGACTTTCTCATTTATTTTGAAATTTCAAATTAGAATGACATCTCATAATCCATAGTATCAAACTGAAATAAGTCATTTTTGTCCATGAATTTCTCAATTAGAAATTACATAAAAATACTGAGATAAATTAAAAATTAATAAGAATCACAACAGGAAATTCTCGTTTAAGTGAAAGACAAAAAGGAATACAACTAAATTGAACTCAATTTACAGGATTGACCATAAAAAAGTATTATACTCTATCTCTACTTTTTCTGATGATATTATGGACGTTAATTTAGTTTAGTAGATTGAAGTCAATCATTTTAAGTGTAAATCAAATAATTAATTGGCTTTTTTTTTAAAAAAAAAAAAAATGGATAATTTAAGCAAATATGAAAAATATAATTAGTAAACTTACCAACCATATATATTTCTAACTAATAATAATATATGTTTGCACTAATCAAAATAACCGAACCAGAAAAGTAAAACTAACAATTACATGTAATATTGTAAGGGGTATAATAATGTAATACAAAATCAATGACTCAAGCCAATCACGATCATCCGGAAATTTCTCTATGTACATTATCCGATTCAGAAATTGGGACACATTTTAAGCAAGTATTTGATCCGAATATGGAAGGAGGTGATTCAGGACCCCGAGCAATACTGAAATAGGTAACAAGAAATAACGCGTAGAATAGGCTAAAATAATCATGAAAATCTTTCCTTTTTTAGATAAATTTTGATAACGTTGGTAAGAAATATATTACTTTATTTAGTAACTGACTGACATTATCATAATTCCGGCCCTGAAAAAATGCGTAGAGCCAATAGTAAATTTTTGCCAATTTCCTATGACCTATTTATATATTGTTCGGGGTCCTGGTGATTCTATGGATTATGTGTTTGGAATTGTGAGGCGTGGAATGTGTAACTAGTAGTTACATTTTTTTTTGTCGCGTTCAAGTCTTTTAAATGTATTTGAACTTTGCTAAAGAAAGAAAAAACAACATTGGCGATTTTATTTCAATATTTATGATAAAAAAATCAATATCTAAAAACCTTAATGAAGTTTATTTTAATAAATTTTTAATAAAGAAATAAGCTATTATTGCCAAAAATATTTTTATTATTTTTTAATTTTCTTTAATACATATTTTAGAATAGTACTAAAATAAAATAATACGTTAAAAACTGATCTAAGAAAGCCAAAAATGCACTATTATGAAATTTTGGCAATACTTGGTTCTCACTAACAATAATCTATTATTAAAACTGTCAACATAGTTTCACAAAAATATATCAAGTCCTATGATAAAACTTACTATGAAATTTTTTATCCGTATTAAACTATGAAGTATTATAGTTTCAATCAACTTATAAGAAATCTAAAACTAAATAGGTGCACTTTTATACCTAAATAACGTTGAAACTTTCTCTTATTTTGTTTCAAATTTCATGAAAGTGTTCCAAATACTTATCTTTTTTATAAAATATCTTGCTTTTTAAAAAATAAAAAAAGAATCCATTTTTATAATAAAAATTGATACCTTTGAAGCATACTAGCTTCATAGGGAAAAAATTTTTTATTCAAGATTTGCAAAAAACGAGGTATTTTAAGTTTCTTAAAGTTATCATGAATTTGGTTAAACTTTTAGTATTTCATAAATATTAATAGTTGGTGAATTATTTATTAAGTCTTATATTTTCAAAAAATTTAATGGGGAAATGCTTCATATTTTCGAAACAAGCCCAACATTTAGTATAATATTATAGAAATCATAAAGTGAATTTTATAAATAAACCTTGATTTCGGAAATAAAACCGGTTTCAAAATATATAATGATAATGATCATAAAAAAAAACAATAGTAAATTTTACTATAGGACTCGACATAGTTTTGTGAAACTATTTTGACAAACATCTCAACGTCATGTCGTCGCGTATCAAAAGTTATAGACTTTGAGACCTGTCGTTCCTTGAATATATTATGATCGTCATTCCAGGGGTGGACCCTGATAGTTACACAAATTGCGTGACAAAGTAAGTTGGACCCTCACCTACTTAATTTATATTATATAAACGAACCTACAACTTACAAAAATTATTATTTTTTTTTTTCTTCTCCAACTTTCGAAAACACAAAAATGTCAACCCAATCATAAGTGTTGAAACTTGACCAAAAATAAAAAGGTTTAGCAATTATTAGTATATATAATATTATGTTTTACCTAAAAGTAAACACCCGGTGGAGAAATGGAGATTAATAGTAAGCAGTTTATAGAGTTAATGTGTTGTATTTTATAGTATTTTACATAAAATTATGAAAAAACTAACAAAATCTGTAGTTAAATCCACATAATCGTAGTCTGATGATCAATAAAAATTGCTTGATGAGTTAAGCTACAATTAAAAAGCAATTAAAACAATTTAAGTATTTCATAGAAACATGTATGTAACTCTCACATTTAACCAGATTTGAAATGGATTATTTTATCGGAAATTATCTTTCTTTATGGGAGGAAAAGGTTGATTTCTTGAACAACTATCAAGACCAATAACTTCAAATAGTTATATTGTTTGATAAAAGGAAAAGGTTGATTAGTTACTTTGAATTACATAACAACCTAATCTTAGGAAATAAAAAAAAACAAGGGCGTGAGAATATCTTTATTGTAATATTTGCCAAAATTTAGTGATCATGAAAATTGTATTTGGTGTTTTTAAAAAAAAATTTCCACAAATATATGAGAGCGTAAAATGTGCAGTATGTAACTTTCAAGTTATGTTGATAATGTATTCTTTTTTTTCACAAAATAAATTATTAAAAAAATTGTGCTGTAAGTAACAACAAAATTCTAAGCCGTACTGATCACAAATTAATTGGAAACTTGATAAATTTATGCAGACGTGTTTAAAGAATCAGAATGAGCCACATCGTTTCTTTATTATATTTTTCGTTAAGTAGTGCAGTACATCTGGCTGACTATTGAATGAAAGTAATAATAAAGAAACAAGGCTTCAAGGAAAAACTGAATTTCCCGCTTACTAAACAATGGCAGTTTCTTCCCCATTACTCAATATTGCTGAACTAACAGTATTTTCTTTATTATTTAATTAATTACTAATTGTTATACTTTGATTATAATAAAGGCTTTTCTTGGCGCTCTTTAAAGCTTTGTTCTTAATGGGCTGAGTTTTTTAATTGCAGGGGTATTTTCTTCATTGATCATTATATTTAGTATGCATAAATTTAATAAAATAGACAAATAAAATATTATGATCTTATTATCATTAAAAAAATTATGAAAATTGCAAAAAAAGGGAACCAATGATTATAATAATATGTAAATAATATCATACATATTACAGTTTAATCCTAGAGTTTATAGTACATTATGTCATACACTTTGTGTTTATTTATGCTGATGTCGTACATTTTTATTTAACTGTACACTTTGTAAAGTATATTCAGGCCCTGTTGAAGTATATAGTTTCCTGGAAGGGTTAAAAACTTCTTAGTGTAAAATCATATTATAGATTTCATGATAAAAAATTTAGTGATTAATATTTTAAATTTCTAATGTTTTCTGATTTATCAAACAGGATTAAGGATTATTATACCTAGTTTCGACTGTATATTTAATTTATATATATTAAATAAAAAAGAAATTATGTGGCTAATTTTAAAATCAAAAAACATAAATAAATAAATAAACTAATCTTTGAAAATAAATAATTTAATTATTATAACTTCATTAATAATGTTAAGCCTTCTTTATAATTTGAAATACTTCATAGTCTTCTATTGAAAACGAATTTTTTACATTTCTTATTCCTTTTTCATAACATTTTTGTATACAACCATTATAATTATATTCGATTAAATCATCATTTTCTTCCACACTTAAGCAAAGATCATCATTAAATGCGGGACCAAATTCGGAATGATAATATAAAGCTATATCAATACTATGATGAATTATATGGCTTAAAATTGGGTTTTTAAAATCATTCTTACTTTTAAAAGAAAATATGAAACTATCTTTTGTTTTACCCAATTCACCTGTATCATGCGATTTCCATACAAAGGGATTATATCCTCCAAGAATTTCTTCTGTTCCTTTTACTTTAATTAATGTAACAGTATAAGGTATATTATCACATAATTCATGGAACTTTTTAGGAGTAAATCCATCTTCACTTCCTCTTAATAATAGTTCAAACTCATAAGGTAAATATAATTCTCTTGTATAAGCATATTTGCTTTTAATATCTATTTTATCAATCCATCTCGAAATTAGAGAAACAATATTTAAATTAACAATTTTTGAATCAATAATTCCATCAACATTTCTGTATCTAGGAAGTAATATATCATTACTTGGTTCAGCATTAGGATTCAAATAAGATTTAAACAATTCATCATAAAGTTGAGATTTCAAAAGTTTTTTATAAGGATGAACTTTTTGTAAAAATTCTTCAGATGATAAACTAAAAAATCTAATTAAAGGTAAACAATTTTGTAAGGTAGTCTCCATTGCTTTAAAATCATTATCCGTCCAAATATCAGGATCTGAAACAAGAGTTGGATTTTGTGCAAGACCCCATTTTAATACATGTTCCCAAATTTCAATTTCTTTCATTTGTAAATCATCTCTTTTAATAAGTGAAGTCAACGATTTTTCAGAAAATATAGTAACATCAAATGATTTGAATATTTGAGGAGATTTAGTTATGCAATCTATACAAAATTGCTGAAGTTCTAATAAAGAATTAGATTGAAAACTTGTCCGATAGGCAAGTCCAAAATGTTGTTCCATCCATTTAACTTTATTATTAATCAAATATTTTTGTAAATAATCAACTAGTTCTTGAAGGTGAAGTTGATCAGCAGCAGCCAATATATGTAAAATTTCCGAAATTTCATGTTCGTTTAACGAAATGATACCACCATAAATATATCTATATTATAAAATTATCTTAAATACAAAATATTTATTATAATTATTATAAAAAATTAAATAATACTTACTTTAAAAGAATTTGAAAAATTTCTGGTGAAATATTTGGCAACTTTATGTGAGCCAAGGTACCGACATTATTCTTTTTGTTTGAAGACAAAGTTCGTCGTAAAAATGGAGAACGGTAACACAGGATAATCATGTGTGCACGGAATATTTTTACATTTGGGTCTTTACCAGTTTCAATAGTAATATCATAATATTCATCATCATTTAAAATTTCAATATAATTTTGACTCAGTTTATTAAAAAATTGGGTTGACATTTTTGTGTTTTCGAAAGTTAGAGAAGGAAAAAAAAAAAAATAATAATTTTTGTAAGTTGTACAGTACGTCCGTTTATATGTCGATCGATGTACAATATCCAGATACAGATAGATTAAGTATAAATAGGGATTAGTGAATAACTTAATTTATTTGTCATGATTTTATTTCGGAAATGGTATATAAAAATTCTAAAATGTGTATGTCAGAATTACTAATATTTTTTCTTAATCGAAGATAGTCAAGATGATTTGTCTTATATAGAATCTGGATGATTGCATACATTATTAGACATATCACGTGATGAGTAAAATAATATAAAAGCCGATCACACAATGATAAATAAATTACAGCCACACGCTCTCTCCCGTTACATTCATTTCACTAGCAAAACAAAAATAAAATTTAATTTTCCAGAAAGACTTTTTCTGCAGTGACAAGAACACATTTTCATGGAAATTTGTATGAAAAATATTGTAATCATTTTCAGTATAAAAGGAAGGATGGATGAATATTTTGATTATTTTGATAGGATAGATTTGATAATATTAACTGTTATAACTTTGTATGAAATTTTTATATACGAAGAATTATCTAATAAGTTGTTTTATAAAATTATTACATTGTTTTATAATGTTAAAATTTTTAAAGATTTTATTATCAGTGGAGATATAATTGGTTTATTTTTTAATGCATTTTTTATTAGAGGAATGTTAAAAGCTTGTGCAGAAATGGCATTTGGAATAGATGAATTGGTAGATTTTTGAATTATAAAGGACATGAAGAAAAAGGAAAGCAGATTTTGAAGGAAAAATTTTAGTATTTTACCAGTGTAAAATATGTAAAGAATGGTTTAAATGAAGATATAACCATATTTTAAGGAAGAATGCTTTGGAAGGAAAAAATATACATACATGTATTCAATATGAAGAATGTGGTATAACCCCTAATATGTATTACTCCCTTACTAAATATTAATAGCTATTCTTTTACTTCTTTCGCAACTAATTAAATTGATTTTTTACTTTTTTAAGTTTAATTGAGACTTTATATATAATTTTTAATTTTACCTGAAACTTCTACTAATAACCATCCAAGAGTATAGGCAAGCGGTGGAAGTACAACAGCATTTCCTATTTGCCTGTGCATATCTTTAGAATAAGTTCAATCGTTAATTTTTGGATAAAATAAAATAGGACTATGGTTCTTGCTTTTTTTTAAATTATCTGTTATGGTGTTTTTTTTTTCGTCTTTAATATTAGTATAAAAAGCAGTATTTGATAAATCGGTTTGATTGTGCAAATCACCGATCACACCAATTCTTTAAAAAAAAAAAAGCCCTACGACCAGAAAATTTGCACTGCAGCTACGAGCACATGTTAAAGTTTGGCATACCAAATAAAAGTAGTACGAATTTATTCTATAAAGAAAAAAAAAAAAACTTTTTAAAATATTCAAATATGGGAGTTTTTAAAACACAAGATGGTTTGTTTTTTTTTTACATAATAATTTTTTTAAGAATTTTTTAAACCCAATTTTCGAATTTTAGAATTTTTAAATTCGTGTGACTTTGAGATGAAACTAAATTAAAAAAAAAAAACATTCCAAAAAATAAATTCTTTTTTTTTAAAATATTATTCAAGTTACTTTTAATTTTCTTTGTACAGTACAATAGTTCGGAAGTGATTTATTGAAAATTGCTCTCCAATTATAATATTAGTAATAATAATCTTTTAACCCAGTTTAAACAATTCAACTTGTCCATAATGAAAATCAATATTTTTAGTTGTTAGGAGAAACCGATTCGGTAATTAATTCGAAGCAATTGCTCATTTTGGAGATCATTTTTTTCTTTATTAGCAATTAACTAAATTTATCGGCATCAATTTTTAAAGATCTTATTATAGTAGTAAAGTAATTCGGCTCATCTGTATTTAATAATTTCAAAATGTCAACCTACTTAACATCCTCATATGAGTGTCATTTTGGTGACCCTTCTATAAATTAATAATTAATTGATATTTTATAACAATATAAGAACTTTTTATCACGAGAAAATGTTTTATATAATTTTTGTATGTGCATGATGCGAATCTATTTTATCAAGTTTTAATATTTTTATAAATTAAAAAAAATACACATTTTTACGTATTCTTTACAAAGTAAACAAATTAATAAATTTATTATTCCACATTTGCTTATCTTTCCAAATATACTGTATATCCCCGATATGAATAATAAAATACAAATAATCTCTATTTACATTTATTGAAAAATCAAACATCTTAGTGCAATGTCCACTTTGTATAAATTATTTCATTATACTAAGTAACCCTATTCTAAGACTTGTCATTGCAATTACCCTTGATAAATTTTAACTTAAAGAGCAATTTGATGTTAATTTTCATGAAATTTCTTCATTAAGCAAACTTAGAAAATCTTATTGTAAGATACAGGATTTCTTCAGAAGTTCATCTTGGAAGATTTTGAATGAAAATGAATTCCATCAAAGAATATATCAACTAGTCGTGCATTGAGAGACATAATATTATGGCACAGTTGAATTAATAATTCAGTTTTTTGCTCTCTTAAAATAGTTATTAGTGCCTATGTGACAACTCTTGATATACAATAAATTAAACACTTTAATAAAATATACTATGTACTGTTTCGATTATTGTATCTAAAAATGAGCAAATAGAATTTCTCATCTATACGAGCCAGCAACATGTTAAAATTCAAATAAGTATTATATTATGACATCATAAAATTTTCATTATTATATCAAAAACAAGATAAAGATGTACAGTAATCAAATATGGTAAAGTTTTAAAAAAAAAATTCAAAAAAATATTAGCATCGGCGTTTATGCATCTTTATGTTCATTATGAGCGTTATATGGTCACGGCCAAGAAGTCTTCAAAAAATTTAGATGGTAAATGAAAAAATGTACTCGTATATTGAATACATGAAGGGACATTTAAACAACTAATCAGTATTTATGCAGTAAAGTTATCTTTTATTTCGTTTATTTTTTATTTTTTATTTTTTATTTTTTTTTTTGATTCCTGCGCAGAAATTGAAAGTAAAATCATCCGTTACACCAAATTTTTTTTTAAAGAAACAATCAAACAATGTACATTATGCATATTAGNTTAAAGAAACAATCAAACAATGTACATTATGCATATTAGATAATGTTCACTTGAATAAATTCCATATGAAAAATGTTTATACGGTTTGTACGGCTTTAATTTGACTGCACCCCAGCCAAATGATCGACATAGTTTATAAGCTGGATGTTCGTGCGCTAACTTATAGCTTATAAACTGCCCATGGGCATATGTAGCCCACGGGATCTGATT